CGTTTGAATGTAAAGTTGACCTTTAAAAAATTGTAAGGTAATAGAGAATAAGTTGTTTTAATGTTTTTATTACATATACAATCGACTATAATCTGATATATATATGAACTACTGTTGTAGTTAACCAGGTAATGGCAACCTCGGAACTGTCTTTTCATAAAAAACCGACTTATTTACAACATACGAATGTTCAGTAAAGTTTCAAATTAATCTTACTTAATCATGCTTTAAGCAAGCGAATAAGAAATTCATTTTCGCCGTCTATGAAGTTTATTTCTTTGACACTATTGTGGTGCGTGCTACTTATATTGATATAAGTAGTATGTGACGCGAGTCAGGAACGTAATGTCTGGCAGCAGAAGATCGGGAAGATCAAGAAAGCAAGAGTGGGAATAGAATGCAATTTGTATGGAAATGCAAAGACAATGAAGTCTGAGGCATTTTGAGACAACTGGTGGACATTTTGCAAATTACCGATTTAATATATGGTTCTCAGATTTTATTGAGATACTCTGTAATTTTGTGTTAAACACATTCGATTATCCCCACCCGTGTTCTGTTCTCTACACTATTACATCAGTATAATAAAGTAAATCTCATCGTCGTAGTAAAACATTATGGCTATAAAATTGGAGATTATCCTATCATCAAGTTATTTTCATATTTGCTTTTTGTGAATATCACGTATAATGTGAAGAATATTCTCATCATTAAGTTATACTAACTGAAGAGCCATTACGAACCTCAGTCCACTATATTTTGATTTTACCTAATTTCTTACTACCAAAATGTACAGATTGAACTATTTTCATGCTTAGTTAGCGTGCACAAAAACGATGAGTCGCTTGATAGACATATAATAATTCATATTATTAAATTCTCTGAATCCACAAGTTAACTTAGTTTCCACTATTGACTTCTGTGTTTTCAAAGATCTTCAAGCTTGAATCATGTCTAATTCACTTACTTCATGTGTGTAAAAAGTTTCTTAGTTGATGAAACATTCTCCTTAAACATGATACAAATTTAAAAACCTCAAAGTTACATCATCAACCAACTTTACCATACAACAGTGCACAACAGAACATGACTGAAACCTAAAGCATTTAAAACCTTATATTCCATATTTTAACTGAAGATCTGCCAGTGCACCGATGACCGTTATTTTATCAACATCTCAACCTCCCTATATATATATATATATATATATATATATATATATATATATATATATATATATATACAGCTTGAACTACTTCCCTAAATGATGTATTTTGAAGCGTCTAATAAAAAGCAGGTAGGTAATATCCGGATAAATGGGTACTGACACCTAAATATTCAATATAATAGTAGTTAAATTTCTGTTCCAACAACCAATACTTACGATAAATACCATGTGAACGTAACTATTAAAATATAAATTGATAAACAAAAATTTAAGTGACTAGTGTTCATTGTGTGTGGTCCGTAAAATAAACAAAAAGAAATTATATGAAAGTTCTCTGATGCTATTGTTTTTATCAATAAAACAGGCATTCGTTCACTTTCTTGCTCGGTATTTACAAGATGTGCTAATTATTTTTCCAGATTTCTTTTTTTCATACATTTATAATTCCAATGAATTTATTCTCAGCTTATTAAAATAGAAAGCCATTTTTCATATTTTTGTTTTCCTCATTTAAAATATATACCAAACTTAAACTTGATATATGTAATTTTATTTTGACGACTATCGAATATAGTCAAATAGATTCAGGTTAAATAACTTTCATTAGAATCAAGTATTGAAACAAGTAGTATTGTAGTGAACAGAACACGGGTGGGGACAATCGAATTGTATTTAGTACGAAATTACAGAGTAACTTGGTAAAATAGAAAAACCATATTATAATACTTAATTTGCAAAATGCTCAATAATTGTCTCGAACTTCCATACTAATTGCTTTCTATCCCCGCTCTTCCTTTTCTTATCTTCCCCATCTTCTACTGCCGTACATTACATTCCTGACTCACGTCATATACTACTTATATCAATATAAGTAGCACGCACCACACTCTTCACCCCTTTAAAGCAGTCTTTCTTGTGGTGGTTCGTGCTCGCCGTGCCACTTTCTTCGTTTCTGCAGTCTTTGCTACGCTCTCCGTCAAAATGTCGAGTCTGCGGTGCGCCGACCTCCGTAGCTCCGTCGACTTGCCGAGGCAACAAATCCGACATCAACTCGGCACCTGGGACACTTAGCACCTGTGCTCCACTGGCCTGCTGAGCCATCTACATCCGATGTCCGCCCAGCAGCCGCACGTCCACAGCTCCTCTTCGTCGACAGCACCCGCTACAGCCAACGCCACCCCGCCAGAACACTCTATATTAATTGCTTTCTATTCCCACTCTTCCTTTCCTGATGTTCCCCATATTCTGCTGCCAGACATTACATTCCTGACTCGCGTCATATACTACTTATATCAATATAATTAGCACGCACCACAATATAACAAAGGTTTGGCTTGATCATTTCGAATAAATTAAGCACTGAATAGAATGTTAGTAGAGAATTGATAGTTTTTGATATTTTAACGAATAGAATTTCGAATTTCTAGTTTCATGACTTAATTCAAGTCACTTATTCAAAACAAATAAATAATTGGATTAAACTAATATGGGTTAACACTATACAATTTGATTATGTGTTAATTTAATTGATGGATTGATTGATTATTTGAAGGAATGATTTTCATTGAAAGTCATAAAACATCAAGAAATTAATTCTTACTCATGAAGATATTACAAATAGATTTTTATTTTATTGTGTAACGTTACTCTTAAGCATCATGAAAAACAAATATATTTGCATTAAAATGTACTTTTCTGGATACGTATTAATAATCTCCATGAAATAATCCGTAACAAAGAATACATTTGTTGATTTTCGTTTGGTCTTTAACACTTAATCGACGTGACAAATGCTGCTTTCAATTTCTAACATTGATCAATTTAAACCAGAATGTTTATATATATATATATATATATATATATATATATATATATATATATATATATATATATATATATATATATATACTTAGATATTTCGTTTAATGTAATATAATAAATACGTAATTACAAGCACAGGATCTGAAGGAGTTACCAGAAATAACTGATCATTTTGAGATTCTTTGTCCTTGTATATTATGAATGTTAACACTCTTGACAAGCTACTAAGACATCGATTATTTGAAGATTGTTTAGAATGGGACAGTTTAGAATTGTAGAAAAGTGTAAAATGGAAACATGATGCACTGGAATCACTCACCTATTGTACAGGTAATTGTTTCCAACAATCCAAACTTCTTAATTTCAACAGAGAAAATATTTCACACGGATGTCTTTTGTCACCTCGTAAACATGCTTGTGGTGTTTCTATTATACATTATTATGAAATATTTATTGTTATTACTCACTCGAAATGAATATTTTATGCTCAAGTATCATTAGGATTTTTTGAGTGTCATCACATATATAGAGTAAATTGTTATAAAGAATAATTATGCATCTCGTTTGGTTATATCCCTCCTAAAACAGTTTCAATCAACGAATCGGTAAAAAATTACATGTAAGATTAAACTAGTAAGACATGTAGTAAAACTGACAAATCTGAAAGTTATTTTCAGCATAAAAATTTGATTTTAAAACTTTCTAGTTAGTTGGTATATAAACCTCTGTTTTGAAATATTATTGACTGTGAGTCTATTAGTCCTCAAGTTGCTCCCACTGAATAAGGACTACTCCTTCACTCAAATACTTCTAACAAACCCTACGAAAAGAATTAAACTCTAAAATTACCTTTTAGAATCTATACACTATCCCTAAAAATTGTTGATCTTATAGTTAAGTTGTTAGAAAAATATTTAGTAGGTTATAATCTGTTCATTATATGTTTGTTTATATGCATGCCAATTACTCCTTTGCTTGAAATCTGTTCTCAGTAGTGCATAATTATTACTAATCCAAAAATCGCTTCAGTATATCGCGAGATCCGTATAGCTCTGCAATTTCTAAAATCTTATTTCATTTCTATTGCGTAACAAAATGCTATTCTAGATAAAGCTTAGTAATCAAGTAGATGCTTATACAATTCGCTTAGAATCAAAACATATTTTGTAAGAATTAATGACACCATTCAGCTATTGTAATAAATGTAAATAAAATTGGATGAAAATGTACAGCTTCAGGGTAGAAAGCCAATTTATTTTTTTCAACTAAATACGTGTTCTAAATGAAACCTTTAAGGAAACTACAGTTCAATTTAAGCCTGACATCATATAATAGGCTAAATAAATAAATATCAACAGAATGGAATGTTTTCAAATTTTTTTTTCATAACACTCGTTGGTTCAAGTAATTCAACTGGATGAATAAAGATCTGAGAATTTTTATAATTAACATTCGTTAATTATTCATTTATAACTGATTTAGACAACTTTTATGTTTATATACAATGTAAAGCAAGAAAGTAATAATAAGGCTATGACAATTTTGTCGTTTATAAACATCAATTTTCTCTAAAAATAAGTGTGTAGCGTGTTAAGAAATTATCCAATTTTATCTGTTTTGATTATTTTATCATTGTATTAGATATGTGTGATTATGTTTGTTGAACACCCATGGTGATGATGGAATCGATTGACTATTTGTACTTCTAATCCTAAAACGAAATTACAAATAAATGTTTATCAGAATATTACTTACTGACTTACTTACACCTATTACCCCTAATGGAGAAGCACAGACCTCTCACTAGCTTTCTCTACATCCAAATCTTCTCTTTTATCTAGGCTTGGCACCGGCATTAGCCTTAGAAGAACTACAGGTAGAGTTTTATCAAAATATAGAGTTGATCAATTAATTTTTGAATTTATGGCTTATAATCCATAGTTTGAATTTGATTATGTATGTAAAAATTCACATTCAGTGGTAAAATTTCCTTCTTTTTGGAACATATTAGTATCATAGATGGAAATGAAATCGAGCATATTGAACCGATGTCATTCCGAAACAATTTAAATGTTAAAAAATTGTAAGTTTACTAATTCTAGTTTTTTAAATTCCAAAATTAATTTTCCACTTAATTCACTGTATATTCATGTTTTTATTCAATAAATAAAAAAATTCATATCAGAAGGGTTTTGTGGATGTTATGGAATATTAATGGTAGAGATCATGAGCCAATTTAAGCTAGACCAGTGCTAATCCACTGCTTCCAGGTTTTCCATGGTGGTTTAGCTTCAATTGACGTATGATCTCAACCATTGAAATAAGAAATTGACAGTATGTATTATCTGATGATTTGTTACATCAATACTAATAATGTTTAACAATATTCATTGTTTGTGATGTAAATTGTAAAGTTGTATTAAGAACAGAGATATGAAAGTCAGCCAAATGAATTGTAAAAAGGTTTATATATATATATATATATATATATATATATATATATATATATATATATATAATATATATATATATATATATATATATATATATAGTTTGAATAATTGGCATGACAGATCATAAATAGTCTGTCATATGTTTCAAATAAGCATTTAGTTACTATACTTGAACCAGTCAACCTATTCAAATGGTTGATTGTTCTAAATGTTTAGTGATGTCTCTCATAATATTGTTTAATTTGAGGCACTACAAAAGATTTTCAGCTGGTTTTTTCTGAAATATGAGTTTAAAATGTATCTGAATAAAAAACAATGAAAGTAACAAATTGTTAATACTGGATATATAATACAATTTAGTTGTCAAAAGAATAAAACGTATAGAACTATGCGTGAAATGTTGATAAATATAACTCTGGCTTTAATTTTAGACTTTAATATCTGCAATCAATCAGTATGATGTGAATTGAGATTAAGGCATACATTGTTAAAAGTAATAAAGAGAATACATTCACAGTGTTCTTACATCGTTTATTAGTTTGTCGCTTAATAGTCAAGTAAAAAGTAACAAGTTAACAAAAGCTCCAAACTTTTCTATGCATCTTGTACAGAACTGATAATGATTATTCAAATGAAGTCGTAAACATTTGGTTCAGCTTCCCTATACATTTGTCAGTGCGTGAATAAAATTATATTACTGAGCAAGCATTTGATGATTATATTTAAGTTTGTTTAGATATTACCATATCAGAAATAAGCTCAGTGTCTTACATATTACTATAGAATCGTTCCACTGACAGTTATCATCAACGAAAAGTGAATGATATGATATGACAAAATTCGTGAATTCATATTGTTACTCTCATTCTATGTCATTTTCGTTTAGAGGTGTTAAGGTAGATTCATTCTGATTAATATGAGGACTTTCATTGTAATCATAAACTGGTCCAACTTAGACCACTATTGAAAACCTGAAAGCAGTAGACAGCCATTTTGTCCTGGTATTCTCACCGTTAAGGAGTTCCATATCAGGATCAAGGCCTGATTTAAACCACTTCATGATTTCAATGACATTTAACAATCTCCACAAACCTGTACTGACAAAATGATAAGTACTGAATATTCTAGTGGTATTTTCTGTAAAGTCACTTAATAAATAACTAACAAACATCACCAATGGATTAACTAAAACATATCTAGTCTATCAGCAAAACATTCTTAAAAGTGTGATAATAATTTCCAATACACTGAAAAGGCTAATGTATTAGATGGTGGTTGGAGGTAGTCGACAGGAAACCCTGGACCCAAGTTTCGTGCTACTTGGCACTCGTCAGCAAAGTGTACCTGTAATCTTGAAGGAATTGGTGCTCCCTGACGGATTCGGTCCCGTGTCACCCAGCTTCACAGTCAGAGATGTTACCACTGAGCTATCCGAGCCGCGACTGACCTCCTGTAAGACTGAGATGTAATCACAATTGATTGATCACTGGTTGGTGATCAATGTCATGTATGTCAAGTCCTTATTTAGTACAGATTGAATGCTATCGACCATGTTGGAATGTAGATTACAGGAAACCCTGGACCCGGGTTTCGTTCCTGTCGACTACCTCCAACCACCATCTAACTCAATATATAGTGCACGCAGTGTTGAGTCACCTAGACTGGTGGCCACATTACAACATGATCGATAACATTCGATCTGCACTAAATAAGGACTTGACATACATGACATTGATCATCACCCAGTGATCAATCAATTGTGAAGGCTAAAATATCCCTAGGTGTATACATATTTCTTACAACTCTTTGGTTTCTTTTTTTTAAAAAATATTTTCACTAAAATATTACGCTTTTCAATCTCACAAATTTTGCCTATTTTTTTATTATTATTAAAAATGAAAACAGAATTCTCAGTAACAACTCATTGACATATTTGGAAGAAAATACATTTAAAGGTTTGAAAAATCTTGAAATAATGTAAGTTTATATTCATATCATATAACTTCATTTGTACAGTATTTAACTACCTAATTATTAAAATTTCTAACTGTTCTGTTTACATATTTATTACAGGTTACTTCAACATAATTTAATTAAATGCTTGAATAATCGAACATTTCATCAAACTCCAGTATTAAAAATATTGTAAGTTCATAAAGTTTATTGACAGATAATAAGTACTTTGTTTTATTGAAAGCGTAAATATCAAAATAGTAAAATGATTCCATATAACCTATAGTCAGCCTTTCTGTTTTAATGTCAAATATTTGTACACTCACTAATTTGTAATGTCTTTTAGACAGATTATAATATATATAATATTGGTTAAGCGCTCGCGCGCGAGATCATTAAGTTCTTGGTCTGAATCCCGCATAGCGCAGTCATGGAAGGAGCACTGTTGACGAGTCCCAAAACAGGACGAAACGGCCGTCCAGTGCTTCCAGGTTTCTTATGGTAGTCTAGCTTCAATTGATTCATGATCTCAACTATTGAAATTACTAAAATCTGAACAAAAACCCTTCTGATATTATATATTGAGAAGAAATCTTAAATTTTTATTGACAATGTGTTGTTCTGAAGAGTAATGTCGTTTAATAATATTACGTCTAGGCTAGTGACACGATTCCTAATCTCATTTACATGTTTAACAATGAAACAAAAATTGATGAAACCTTGAATCGTCTAAATTTTGGCATATATCAAATTTCTTGATCAACGCTTAAGACATACATTTGTGACTTTATCGTAAATAATTGAAACTAAATCTACTGAAAAATCAACAAAAATCAAATTTATAAGTCATAAATTTTAGTCATTGAAGCTTTCAGCAGGTTACTTCACTTGGATTATAAGTGCTTTCATATGAAATTGGACTATTGATCATTTCAGTTACAAGTAGAATTAATACAATAGGTTTAGACAATGAGTGTATTTCACAAAAATGATTAATTTATTATTATCATTAGATATATTGAATGTTGTGCAAACTATGAGTCCACATAAGTTAGACAGCACCAAAAACTAGGAAGCAATGGATAATTGTTTTATCTTTGTATGGGGCTCATCGTCCATGCTCATCCACGACCCCACCAGGATCGAACCTTGGATCCTCAAGTCTCGCGATGAGAGAAGACTTAAGTTCTGAAGTTTCAGAATAGCGTAAATATATTTTATCCGACAATAAGTCAGTATGACAAGTAAATATATTGAAATGCTTTAAATGACATGTGCGTTAATTCGTAAGAAAGTACTATTTATGAAGTCTCGAAAATTTGAGAATTCTTTTGCCCTACTAATTAATGGATATTAAACATATATAATCCTCATTGTAAACAAATTATTCTGTGTTCAGTTTACTTAAAATGATGAGGTCTTATTTTATTAGTGATAAGAAAATATATCATATGATCTAATTATTTCATGCACGTAGTTCCTTATATTATTACATAAATACTGTCTTTACTAACTAAACCTTCGGTATACGAAACTACAATTTCCGAACGTTAGTTCCCTATTCAACATAGTGTTGTTTTATCAAATGATACTATGGTTGTTTTGTCAGTAATAACTATATCATTTAGTTGTAAACATGCCACAGATAATCGCATAACAACTAGGGTTATCACCAAGAATTCACTTCTTAATTAAAATAGAATGAGCTATGTCGATGCCGATATGCTGATATACACAAATTATTATGATGTTTTAAATAATTTAAATTTATAAGGGTCGGTTACAATGAATAACGAATGTTTGGTTTTCATCAATTATTGATAAAGCTCAAAATACGTTGTTCGTTTTTTAGAATCCTACATAGGGTTATAACACTGTAGTAGAGGTTTTATTAAGAAAAATAGAATATACATTTCTGTTGAAGTCTTTGTAGTGATCTGTAACAGATCAGTCAGATGAAACAGATTTTAATTATCTCTTCACTAAATATCTAACTTACAATAAAGTGTTACATGTCAACTAACTGGATATGTTTAACGTATTCTGTACTGTTATCATGTTTATAAGCTTACAATCCTCTAAATTTATTTATTTGTATTGCCAGCAATTCAATTTCCCTAGATTTCGATAGATTTCCAGAAACATGTCTCTTACTTACTCACGCCTGTTACTCCCAATGGAGCATAGACCGCCGACCAGCACTCGCCAACCCACTCTGTCCTGGGCCTTCCTTTCAAGTTCTATCCAATTATTGTTCATTCTTCTCATGTCTACCTCCATTTCTCGACGTAATGTGTTCTTTGATCCTCCTCTGCTCATTTGGCCGTGAGGATTCCATGTGAGGGCTTGCCCTGTGACGCAGTTGGGTGCTTTTCTCAGTGTGCCCTATCCACTTCCAGTGCGTCTTCCTGATATCTTCCTCAGCTGGGATCTGGTTTGTTCTCTCCTATATTAGATTGTTGCTGATAGTGTCTGGCCAACCGATCCGAAGTATTTTGCTTAAACAACTGTTAATAAACACCTGTATCTTCTGGATGATGGTTTTCGTAGTTGTCCAAGTTTCCGCTCCATACAGTAGAACTGTCTTGACATTTGCATTGAAAATTCTGACTTTAGTGTTGGTTGACAGTTGTTTTGAGTTCCAAATGTTCCTCAGTTGTAAATATGCTGCTCTTGCTTTACCGATCTCTTCAATTGTTGGTGGGCAAATATCGACTGGAAGGTCCATGGGTGCCACTTCGATTTTGGGTGGGTCCAATGAAGCTGGTCGGTTCAAGAGTTCTTTGAAGTGTTCTACCCGTCTTTCATTTAGAAACATATCCCTAGTCTCTTTTTCTTGACAAATAACTGTAGTAAATATTTGTATTCTATTATGTACACCATTAGTCAACTATAAATTATCTAATATATCAAATTACATAATATGCTTTCTCTCCAAAGATACAGCTTCTTTTATGGTTACCAATGATAAAATCTCATTTTTAAAGATCGAATTAGAACTAGATTCATATTCCTTGCTACATTCTTAATGAACTAAACCAATTTTTAATATATTACTAATAACAAAAGAAATTAGTATCAGTCCATGTTATTGGAATTGAAAATTATTCTCTTGGATAAAGAATAATACATGAAAGCATTACTAATGAAGTTTTAAGAAAATGAAATTTAATCCTAGACCGTTAAAAAAACAATGATCGAATTGTCTAATTAGACTAGAAGTCTATAGAGGAGACAAAATGGTATTCTGTTATTTTTGCATGGTGTACCACATAATTACTTGTTTACCAAGTAAATGATTAGATTACATATTTACATACTTTTAAATACATTTCTCATCATCATATTCTCACTTCTAACGTGGAATTCAAAATGGACATTTGGCAACTTAAATATTTTCAATCATGTGATTATTAATGGTTATGCCTTAGATACTTGGTTTAGAGGGAACATTATTATTTTCATTGTAGCTAAATCTCTATAAATAAGTCAATTAAAATATTAACTTATTATTATCTTACTTTAAATAAAAACTGAAATTGAATGATTTTATGCGGACTATATTTGATTGTCTGAATTGAAACAAATAACTTAATTGTGTGACAACTATTCATGTCAACCAACTTATTGATCCAAACATCCTAAATGGGAACGTTTCAAAAGACAGAACAGTCGGGTATAAAGGACGGACATAATTTCTATCTTGAGATTAGATGTTGGTTGGAGGTGGTCGACAGGAAACCCTGGACCCGGGTTTCGTGCTACTTGGCACTCGTCAGCAAAGTGTACCTGTAATCTTTAAGGAATTGGTGCTCCCTGACGGATTCGATCCCGTGTCACCCAGCTTCACAGTCAGAGACGTTACCACTGAACTATCCGGGCCATGACACGAGATCGAATCATCCAGGGAGCACCGATTCCCTCAAGATTACAAATACACCTTGCTGACGAGTGACATGTAGCACGAAACCCGAGTCCAGGGTTTCCTGTCGACTACCTCCAACCACCATCTAATCCCAGTATATAGTGCCTGCAGTGTCGAGTCACCTAGACTGGTGGCCACATTGCAACATGGTTGATAGCATTCGATCTGTACTAAATAAGGACTAGACACGCATGACATTGATCGCCACCCAGTGATCAATCAATTGTAATAATTTCTTTCTGTTGTGCCGGAAAAAAAGAACAATGCTGATCACTTATACTCGTAACGAGGGACCTCGGCAATTCCCATGAAGTGAATGTAAGAACACAAGAGTGGTAAAAGTGATGATTTATTAGCCCCAAAACACTATGACGACGAAGAATCAATATCGTCTAAAATACACTTGTTTGCATATTGATTGTACACCCATTTTGATTAACAATTAGGACTAAATCACATACTCAGTTGTAACAAATCACTTACTGAGCATAGTTCATGTCAAGTGAATGCAAGAATATCGTATATTATACAGAAGAAAATATCATACTGGAAAACAATCAAATACTACACTAAATGATCCTCACGTTGAATCATAACGGATGTAATATTGAATAAAACTTATAATGAGTAATTCAATCGAAAATTGACTTTTCTTTCCATTATATCATAATTATACAATAAAAATATACGTTTAGTATTGGTCCATAAAGGATCTCAAAATTACCATTCATTATGTTTTTCGAGTCCTAACACTATCTTAAATTAATTGTAAATTAACCATGAAGATATTAAAAATTTGATTACAGATTTTGTTTAAATATCAATTGTATATGTTTTGTTTCTCGCAAATCACATTTTCAGAATGCTAAACAATAATAAATTAAGATGTATCGCGAAAGGAATATTTACAGAATTAAATCTTGAATCATTGTAAGTTTTGACTTTGAATGGTATTGGTATTTTGAAAGCTTTTTTAATGTCTAATTGTTTCCATTTCTACAACTTGATGATATTTCATAAATATCTTGATTTTTCATATACTATGGATACATGAACGTATTAGAACACACAGAACAAAAATGTATAATCTGAAAATGTTTATTTCAATTCAGAAGATAAGTTATCAGCAACTTTAAGGATATAAACTTTGTTTGTATTGTTGAACAGTCTCTTTTTTAATAAATACCTTGAATACACTTATGATCATGAGTAGATAACATTAGTTGAATCCTGTTATAATTATGAAACCTTTCTTAAGTATTTACATTCTAGTAATATAAATAAATCAATAATCATTAACTATCTAATCCAGAGAAGCCTAATAGAATATTATATATGCAAAGAGGATTTTAATTGTCTCACATTTAGTTTATGTGTGTCATCAATAAACGTCCACTTAACTAAGGATCTTAATTTGAATTACTCATATTATATAAGGTGTTACAATCACACTATTTTTACCCGTTAGCTACAGTGAAAATCAAGTTTAATTTTTTTTACTAACTATATAGAAAGCATTTAACCCCATGGATACTTTTTTTTACAAATATCATAGCTAGGAATCTCTATACCCTAGTATGAGACTTAAATAGACAGATGTTTCGAATTATTCATCAAGTTAAGAATATCAGCTGGCTGACTCCGATATTTTATAAAGATGAGTTGAGGAAAAATGTGGTATAAAAAAGGATTTACTAGGTCAATAATACTATTTGTGAGCTAAATACACATATAACAGTTGTCAGACGTATAAAATATATGGAATTTGTCTGCTTGATCATTGGGAGTCCTTTTTTCGTCACTACATATTAAAGACAATTTTATTTAATCGACGATAAACCGTATTTACTAGTTCACTTACAACCATTTAAAGTCAATAATACTATTCACTTCTATTGTAAGATTCATCCCTTACTGTACTACTAAATAAAAATTCATATCGACTGACTGAAACTTCAACCAATTCTTCTTATTCATGTGAGCTAAAGAGCAATTATGAACACATATAATTATTTAATAGCTGCTTGTTGTAATTTTAACCCTTTGATATGAGAAGTGACTGAAAGATCACAGGATTAATTTTATTTACGGTGAGATTGTAATTCATGGGCGACCTTTGAGTGACACTAAAGTGACCTTGAGTGTCCACCTACTTAGTAGGTCTAAATGAGGGTTATAAAACAGTTTGTAGAATAAGGATTAAGATTTGTAGTTGATTTTAAGGTTTTCATCACGAACTGACATAAGCTAAAATGCCATGGTGCTATTTGGCCAAATAAGTGAATAAATTTAGCGCCCAAAACTAAGGTCTGTTGTCGTAAATCTGATTGGTTCATCTATAAATTATAGTCTCGCCTTATTTACTCATGGTTATATTTTCACGATATTGAAAGTTACAACACTTCTCTAATGTTGCGTCACACTTAACTTTAACACAGATATTTAGTCAACTTATTGCTTATAGTTAAAAACTAGATACATTTTTGTTGGGATTATAGAAAATCGGCTTAAGTATTTGATCCAATAATATGAATTGCCTTTCTCAGTTCATTTAGAAAATACTTAGATGGAAGTCATACATATACATTAAAGATTTTCTTCGTAACCTGATTTCAATATATTTCGATAGAAACAAGACAATCTCATTAATATCAGAAGGAGTTTTGTCAAAATTTTTAGAAATTTCACTAGTTAAAACATGAGTCAATTGAAACTAGACCACCATGAAAAACATGGAAGCACTGAACGGCCGTTTCGTCCTAGTATGGGACTCCTTAGCAGTGCGCATCCATGATCCCGCCCCGCGAGATTCGAATCCAGGACAGCTCACTGAAGACAATGGTAGACGGTGGCACAGTTTCCTGGATTGGTTGAAGTTATACATTAACACCGTAGGATGCCGGATCAGTAGTCTAATGGTTAAGCGTTCGCGCGTGAGACTGATAGGTCCTAGGTTCGAAACTCGCGAAGGAGCGGGACCGTGAATGCTCACTGCTAAGGAGTCCCATACTAGGACGAAACGGCCGTCCAGTGCTTCCAGGTTTTTCATGGTGGTCTAACTTCAATTGACTCATGATTTCAACTAGTGAAATCTCACTAATCATTAAATTTATTGTAAATATCAGCATTATTACTATTGTGACGATATAAAAAATCCTTTCACTTGTATCCTTATATTACTGTCCTTAGATATAGACAATAGGTTACTGTTTCGTTTAGATTTGACATTGTATATTTGAACTAACTTGTCATATAAAATGATAATTGAAATTGAAAATAATTAACAATAAATCTATAAATCATTAAATAAAGAAATTACTTTGTTAATAAATATATATCATTAGAACGTATTCTATTGTGTGTATAATGTTGAAATGGTAAATATATATATTCAGTTATATGTTGCTTATTAGGTATTTAATCCAAATGATTCGCGAGTTAGTAAAATCAATAATTGAAGTACAATTTAATTACTGAAACAATAAAAAATCTAATATATTTTAACAAATCAAATGAAATTGTTTTAGTCATTGAAATTTAAACAAAGTTTATAAATGAATCAAATGTACTTGAAATGTTTAAAATGATATTAATGTAATAGTAATAAGACTTTAGTTACTATATTAAAAATATGAATAAATTAGATGAATATTTATTATTCAAGTCTTTATTTAAATTTTCTCGGTTGTAAGTTCAACAATAACAACTATCAAATTTATAATTGAAATTAAAGGTGAATAGAGGTAGTTAATTGAAAATAAATAATAACTAGATAAATATCAGAGTATCAGGTAGCTATGATTTTATTTGGAATCATTATTAATATACTCACTAATGAAGTTGAACGTTAACGAATGGATAGAAAGGCTTTAGAAAACATTAAGGAAGAAGTCAACCGAGAAAGATTTATATGGTAAGAAGAGAAGGCATATATATATATATATATTGATTTCAGTCTAAAGGTCAACTTCCAGCTTCCTTGACAGTAGCGGTGAACCATCAATGACTGTATCAATTAAATACTATGTATGAGTTCAATTAACTTGGATGTTTTTCAAAATTGTTTTTTGGAGGCAAAACTTATGTTCTTACAATTTTAGTTTTTATAATACAAATTTTCGATAGTGAAGCGCATTTTAGGTTTGATGACTGTTTTTATGATAGATACCAATTTGTCACTAGAGTTGTAAAGCTAATGAAATCTTAAGAAACCATGGTTCAAACTGAAAGATTAACTTTTGGGGAGTTCTACCTTAAAATCTTTCATCAGAATCACTGACACAGAAATTTCGTTTTTATATTATTTTAAAAAACTAATGCTGTCTGGTACTGATTAGCTTTCACAGTGATGTAAATTAGTGAGGAAAATGATTTAATGGCTAAATGGATCGCCAAAAACGAACTACCTGAATAGTAACTATGTGTTCGCTGGTAACTGGTTTCAAGACTAACTCACTTTTGGTCGAATGAGAAAGCGTGGTCTGTATGATCAAAAATATGAACAGTGAGACATTTATCAATAAAACTAGATGATCATTGTCTTATATTTCAAAGCGAGTAAAGTTGAAAATGCTTACTGTTAAATCCCTATCCAACAGTCTGAGAGAGCCATGAACTCCGTGATATTTAGCGGGACTGGGTATAGGCACGTTTTGGACTTTATATTTGGTGCAGACGCTGGGGCTTCAAGAGCTGGAAAGAAATATCTGTCTAGCACTTAACAGTTTTCAATGGTTCTTCTTTTAACATCATTTCATTACAACGCATATTAGATTAAATTGTTCTCCAAAACCGCCGTAAATAATAATTGATTTTGTATGTTACATAAATTAAGTAATTAATTTTGTTGTTGTTTACTTTCAAAAAATATTTTAGAAGCTTAAATGCCAATCCCTTCAAATGTGATTGTCATCTTAGTTGGCTGCCGGATTGGTTAAGAAATAATGCAAATCAAGTAAATGAAGGTCCATCACCACCAATATGTGTATCCCCAGAAGATTTAGCAGGTACACCAGTGGCTAGTTTATCACGTTATCATTTTATATGTAAAAATTCTGCTTCCAATTGCCTATCTAGTGAAAATTTACATTTAAATGAAAAGTCAAATACTAATGAAAATGGGATAGTTTCAAGTGTTCAAAATTTATACTGTGATACAATGGAAACCAGTTGTTGTGAAGTAATAACAGGTATTTGATACAGAACATAAATTTTGTTTTGTTTTTGTTCTTTAATAGTTTTGTACTAGGTAGTTTAACATTGTTACGAAGATATTTTCATTGCTTTGTGGTGTTGTTTAGTTAATTTAGTCTGTCTTATCACAGGACGTTTTACTATGTTGTATTGGGTAAGTAGTAGAAGTCATTACGAAACCAAGATGTTTATGTTTCTCAACGAGTGTGGAAATTCATAGGAATACTTTTTTCTTCTGACAACTGACTATGTGTAGGACTGATAAAATTTGCATTTAAGCACTAAATAGTTCAATTTGTTATGATTCCAACTAACGGCGTTATAAATAAAACTGTCGATAATATGAAGGGTATAGATAATAATCTAAGCAAATGGAATAATATAAATTAGTGAATATTACTTCGCGTTTGATCTTGATTTTCATAATTTCTAACTTCCGTGTACTCAATTATTACGTCATGAAATTTCTAAATAAACTATCAGCTAGCTAACTTTAGTTATGGTCTGAACAACTTTGCAGAGTGATATTTCATGAATGACATTGAGTTGGTAGGATTTAAACTAGTAGATATCATTCATATTTATTGATTTTCTGTACATATGTAATCGTTTCTCTCTGATCACTAAATTTATCTTAATGAGCTTAATTTTGTGAATCCCACCTTTTTAATATGACATACATTTTCGCATTTTTAATGTGGTGTCTTCTTTTGACAAATCCGTTTAGTTTGATAGTAGTAAAATAAGTCCTATTGCAGAGGTTTCCTGAAAAAGTCTAAACTGTATCAAGCATATAGTGTAAAGTGGTTATTTTTATATTTAATTTATAGAAATATCAGTGTTCCATTTTAGTTCCACTTATTACAATGAAAACTTTCCACCTTATAAATACCATATGAACACTAAATTCATAGGGTCATATGAAGATAGAAATCTCAGTAACAATAATTTGTCAATAATCTAGTTTAGTGAGGGGCAGTGGCTAGTGGAGTTCAACCGGGTCTGTTGTGAGATAGTAACTCACTGAAGATAATGGTGGATGTGACGCTCAATTTCGTGGATTGTTTGAAGTTAGATATTAACACCGTTCGATGACGGATAAGTGATCTGGAGGTTAAACGTGAGACTGGTAGGTTCTGGGTTTAAATCTTGCGAGGCGGGATCATAGATGCGCACTACTGAGGAATCCGACAATAGGGTGAAACGGCCGTCCAGTGTGTCCAGGTTTTCCATGGTAGTCTAGCCTCAATTAACTCATGATCTCAAGTATTAAAATTTGTCTATATATATATCCTAATGTTTATGTGATTGCGGTGGAAATAAATGTAATCAATTGCAGTTATATAGGTGAATTATTATATTTAATTTCTATGACCATTTAATTAAATGTAGTTGTTTGATTAAATTGTTACGTCTTTTAATTTATTTTAAGCTCAAAATACTTGTCCATTAAATTGTTTATGCGGGACTGATGGCGTTTATTGTTCAGATAGAAACTTAACAGAAATTCCTGCCAACATTTCACCTGAAACAACTCAACTGTAAGTGTATTTTCCGTGGTGTATTAACTGTTATCAAGTAATATAAAACACTGATAAATTTCGCAGTTACAATAAGATATTTCTTGCGATTCGAAAGTGACATCGTTCTTTAAATCCGTGTTAGTTTACAAGAGTAATGTAAAATTGTGCTCCAGGACTAAATACTTAGGCTGTCTTTTTTAATTCTTAGTATAAGACCTTTGGAAAAACACCTGAAATAATCAGGATAAGTGAATAGGAATAAAGTCATAAAATTTACTAACAAGTAATGCTGAAAAATACTGCCAAGACTGGAAGTCACTTGACTTTTAATCTAATGTATATCACTCAGATATTTAAAGTAATAAATGCTAATTTCGAAATGTGTTTGGTAAAGTGATACTAAAGAGCATCTAAATCCAGCTAATGGATCCTAAATAAAAGCTCCTGGGTTCGACTTCTGACTATTGAAAACTAAGCTAGATTAACATATTTCTATCTCTTCATTTTCCTAAAAAGGTTCAATATTTACCTTGTGTAAACGATTATTTGGAGAAAACACATCTATGACACTATCCTCGACATGTTGAAACTAATTTTATTGTCTAAGTAATGTACCCTAATGAATTTGTAAAATAATATGACGTAATTTTTTGAATGATTCTTAATTGAGATTTCTTGGTTTCCACGACTCACCTTAGAAGAAGAAACTCAGTTAAACATTGCATTCAATTTGGTTGTGTTAATGATGTACTGAAAACACTTCTAAAGACCTGTTATATTTGAATATTTTAATATGATGGTGAAAAATCGCAAATAATTAGCTTGACATGGTATTAAAACATTTAGTTGAAGTATCTTTATCGCAATGATGTAATATTATAATGACTATACAGTAGTCCATTACCTCAAAAAGATATATATCACTGCATTGAGGTTATAAAACGAGCACTGTTTTAAGATTCTTACAATTTTGTTCGAAAACACAATTCGAGCATTTATTATAACAATATAAGACGGATAATCCCACTTTAATTTGGGCCGTACAAAACTGTTTTGTTTCCGATTGAGTCACTTCTCATTAGAATAAATAGAAGAAATAATTTCTTTTGTTTCCGATAATCATTTTTACTTACCTGATGAAGTAATCTAGTTCTAACATCGACAACGATTGTTTGTAAGGTTACAGTGAATCACATAACTTGGAACTTTTATTCGAATTTCTTTGTTTTGGAGGTAGATGTATTATTCTTTGGGGTGTTTCTTCTTTGTTCTCTGTGTCGTTTGCATGATATCTCCATAGCTGTTGTCAAGATTTCCAAATGTTCTGACGTGAGTGTCCATTGTAGCTTCATCTTTTGGTCCTCTATGACGTGTTGGTATTTGCGGATCCTGTAGTGTGCATCCGTTATCATTAGGTGTACCATTATTCTTCCACTTTGCTCAGCTATTCTCCATCCCAACGGGCAGTTGATTGAAGGTCTATATCTTACACTTGTTGGCAGGACATGATGGTGGAGACACTCATGGAGAAAATAAAGTAGTTCTCGAGTGGAAGTCTGCCTTTTGGCGAAATTCCCCGATTTTCGAACAACGAGAAGCGTATTTCGCTCATATGATTTTGAGATGGTGGAAACGATTTGCAGCTCAGGTGGACGGTTTTGATAGAGTTTTGTTCTTTCGACAAAAGTTCGTACTGATGATGTCATTCAGAAGAACGATGAAAGCTCCACGACCAAATCATCCAGCTGAGAGAACAAAACTTCATCAAAATAGATATATTTTATTGCTCTGACAATTAATAAACTTGCAAAAATACTTATCTTGTAGTTTATTTGTTTCAGCAATTTTATTTCAATCATTAGAATATGATATAGAATTGTTGCTAAACAACACTTTTCTAAATAGGGTTTACTGGTACTTGATGCGGCTAATTATTTATTCATTATTTATAATTTCATGCATACATTTTGATATATATGTATGTGTTTTTTCTTCATTTGTACCTACCTGTTAGCTACTTGGAACGAAATCAAATCACGAAAATTGATTCCAATAGAATAGCCCACTTAAAAAAGCTTCAAACTTTGTATGTTTACTGAAAACCTATATTGTTTGTATATTATTTGACTACTTGAATATCTTCTATTAATCGGGTTGAAATTAGAATTCATTCACTATAAGGTTTTTTAAACAACTTCACATCATGATGTTTACTCTCAGTAATTTTATATACAACTTTAGTTTTGAAGGTTCTACGGATTATGAAATAGTTGATAAAGCTCACTTATCTTGTGTTATTTACTTTACACTTTACAAAGTATAATCGAAAAGAATGACAAATAGAGCTATTATTCAAAATACTAGTTTAGTGCTTAAACAAGAATATATTCTGTTCAGTGTCTTTTCACGCTTCTTTTCTTGTTTTATTCTGCACACAAAAAAACATAAAATGTATAATTGAGACGTTTGCTTGTTCACTGCTTTTTTCTTGATTCTTGGTCCATTCGTAAGAGATTATGACAAGCTGTTTCAAAATAAATGATAAACACTCAACACAAAACTATATAATATTTTATCTCACAGTTAGAGATATACAAAACTATTTTATGCAGATTTTCTTTAGCTTGAATCTGAAATTTTATCACATGATTAACAATAGTTTTTTTCACTAGTTGATATCATGAGTCAACTGAAGCTAGACCACCATAGACAATCTGGAAGCACTGGACGGCCGTTTCATCTTATTGTGGGATTCCTGAGCAGTGCGCATCCACGATCCTTCCTCTCAAGACTCAGACCCAGGATCTATCAGTCTCGCTGATTATAATCATCATATGCTCACAATTGACTGTCTCCAAGAGTTATTTCTTGGGGTTCTAGTGAGAAGCTGTGACCAGTGGAGTTCAACCTGGTCTGTTGTGAGATAGTAGCTCACTCAAAACAATGATGGACGGTGGCACAATTTTATGGATTGTTTGAAGTTAAACATTAACACCGTTGAATGTCAGCTTAGTGGTTTAATGGTTAGGCGTTCATGTGCCAGACCGATAGGTCCTGGGTTCGAATCTCGGGAGCGGGTTCGCGGATGCGCACTGTTGACGATTCCCATATTAGGATGAAACGGCCATACAGTGCTTCCAGGTTTTCCATGGTGGTCTAGCTTTAATTGACTCATGATCTCAACTAATGAAATTACTGTAATATCCACAAAACCCCTTTCTGAACAGACTTTAGATGGATTTCATAAAATTCTAATAGATAAAGTGTGATGTCACCTTAGTCCAGAGTTTGAAAGTAACTAATTTATTACGCTAATTAAAATTCACATAATATCCGAGGTTGGCTGGTATTAAGGATATGAACAGTTGCATTATCACTCATTAACCGAACGGTACTTTGTTCATATAAAGACTATAAACCTTAGGTTCTTTTTCAAATGAAACAGTTGGTGTGCTCAAATTAGTAGTTTAAACTTGAACAAAACGCCTACCAAGTAGACCTATGACTTATAGTACTTCGGTTAACGTCAATTTGCCGAAATATATATATATATATATATATATATATATATATATATATATATATATATATATATATATATATATATATATATATATATATATATATATATATATATATATATATATATATATATATATATATATATATATATAAATCAAGCACTAGTAAAGTACATTTATTAGCATAAAAATCTGCAAGATAAGATTAAAAATGCTACCTAAATGATATACATGATGTTATTTCGAATATCGCTTTCAACGTCTAACAATCGAAATTCATTAGCTTATATATTTGAAGAATGATATCTTTTTATCATGGGTCATTATGTTGTGATGTGATTGTTTGATAACGCGAAGACATTTGAAGCAGACATTGCTGAGTTCGGGTCCCGGAGTGAACACCAGTTTGGGGATGATAGTACATCCAACTAACGAGTACCGAATAGGAGTAAACGCTTGTTCTGGATTTCACTGCTATTCGTCGTTCGTCTCTGCTTATAGAGATTTACTTCGTTTCTTTAAGGAAAGGACATCTGACCAGTTAAATTTTCGGAAGTGTTTACTGAAAACGACTTGCCTTTAAGTGTATTTAAATAGACCTCAAACCTAAACGGAAATCAGAACAATCGCCAACAGTACCAAACAAGATACTTTTAATGAAAACTAAATTCAAATATGTTAGTCGTATCAGGGATCCTAAGAAAAATTCAAGAGATCTCTGTTAAAAATATTTTACTCTGCTGAATTTCATAATGTCTTTCTCACCTAAAAGCTGATTTTTGGGAGTGTTAAAGATAAACTGCGACTTCTAGATAAATCGTTACCAAAACGGATGTTTGCTTGTTCCTATGGAATAGTTCTCATCTGATGCATAGCGTGTGCTTTCTCGAAGTACAGCCCGAAATATAATCCTATTTAGGTGCTAAAAGTAATATCTAAGTTAGTCAACAATCCAACAGTGGAACATTTAGACAATTACGGACACACTGCCTCACCAGTATTGTCTTTCGATATCTTTGAAAAAGTCAACAGAATTCGCTCAAAAGGATTACATACTAAAAAAATTATACATCGAACAGGCTCAATCAATCTTACTGGTTCAAAAGTGATGTTGGAGTGAATATACTGCTTGTATTCAGTGTAATCAGATCTTTTTTTAGGATAGAAATCTTCTAAAGTACATTGAATATATACATAAAACTTACATTAGTGCACTTCATATAGTTATGGAGAACTCGATCACTTTTTTATGACTACTGTATCTTTGAATTCATTTAGTGAAATATTTATGAGAAGTATGTTAATCCAGTAAATGGTTTTTCTTAAGAAACGATAAGTACGATCTACTAGTTGAGTATTCATACACTTTGATGATCCAGTCAGGAAGTGGACACAGTTCTCATTAAGTGAAATGTCAAATAGCTATTTTATAGACTAAATGAAAGAAAAACATCGATTTTATATATTGTAATCAGTTGTATACAATTTATCATAAATAATATTTAATACTTTACATATTTGTTTAGTAATTCATTTAATATGAAAATATTTTTTAAACTATTCCTTGTACTGTAGAGTTTTAAGTTATAACAAATTGCGTGAACTACCACCACGTGTATTTGAAAAATTAATAAATCTAAAAACAATGTAAGTTAACCACTTTTTCCTCATGTATTTGTTGAAATTTTTATTGACTTTCAGAACGATGTCCAATATGGATCGTTAGCAACTGGATAATTGCAGAAAAGCTTAAATAACTTTTAGTCTTAGTTTTGTAACACTTCAGATGTCACAAGAACGTATTCTTGACGACGAATTCTTAAATGGGGCTGTAAGGTTTAATGATCAAAATAACTAAAATTACAATTCAATTTAAACCGACAGAATAAAAGCTTGCTATTTAAGACTTGTGAACGGCAATCAATAATACTGAAAGTCAGCAGAACAAGCTCCTAGTTACTTGTAATATTTCTCAAAGCTGATATTTTCTTTAATTTAATGATGATGATGTTATCTTGGTAGATAACGAAGCTTAGCGATTGAAACATCCAACTAAGAGAATACAGTTTCATCAAAGCATTATTCTGAAATATAAATCTTCTTTATCATTTAATAAAATGGTCAATCAGCGTTTACAAGGATTTGCTGTCATACATCATCTACTGTTTCATTTAACTTATGCTCTTTTCATTTCATTTGCATCATTAAGAGTGATGTATGTTTGTGTACATTATCGAAGAAGAAAGTTAGGGGCGGCCAAACCAAAACGTGACATCAGTGCTTGAAGTCACTAACTTCTAGTCTGAGCCATGTTGAGAGATGCAGACTACTTGGTTAGGGTCCGCGTGACTATCGTGACCAATGGTTAGAGACCCTTGGTGACATGGCTCAGAATCGATCACAATGGCGTCGGTGTATACACTCTCTGTCTTCCCTTAAACTAAGAGATTAAAATCACTTCATATCTCTTTCTACGAACTAATTCTTTCTCCCTGTACTATATCCTTATATGCAATCTTTCTTTTATATATTACCACCTCTGAATTAACTACTTTTATGAATCCGGTGTTCATCTTGTTGTGTTAATGAGGTATGGCAATTTGGACCGATGCATATATGTGCCTGGTCCTACGTTGTAGCTGACTGACTGACATTATCAAAGAATACTGACAGATCATAAATATATAGATATAACAACTGAACTTAACATTAACTTTTCAAGCATCCAACTTATTATTATATCTATGCATTATGTGAGTTATATTGTTGGATATATCAAATAATTCGTTGATTAATATAAAAATACAATAAATTCTTTAAACATCTGTATGAATGATCAGATAAAGTAGTATGATGTAGGCAAATACTGTTGTACTTATGAAGTAAATAAAATTAATTATCTATTTACCTATTTTTCTTGTCTATATTTATTATTTAATAAAAAATAACAAAAAGTATTGAAAATGACAAAATTTTGTTTTATTATTGATGATTCATTTTTCAATTGTTCATATGGAATATAAAATCGTCTAGACAACATTTTAAAATGAGGTCATTTTAAATCATAAAATGTATAATAAATTCAATTGTTAAGCAATTAAAATAAAAACCATGGAAATATAAATTAGTGAATTTTTAATCATTGAAAGAAAAAGGGGAAATCATTAAAGAGGAAGAATGTATTTGTAAAATCATAGCGAATGAATTTAAAGTAAATCCAACGTTTCGCCTGACAATCTAGTCCAAGGTTTTTCAAGGAAAATATAATCAAACAACAAAATTATAGAATATAAATAGGTACATGGTTCTCTGGTTTACTGTATACTGAATAAGTTATCCAATCAACGTTAACAATGTTAAAGTATTTAAGGGGAAATCAAGTTAAAGAATTCCTTATGCTTTATGAAATGATTACTTTCATTGCACTTAGTATTTACATTGATTAGAATAGGGAAATGAATAGAAAAAATTTGTTTTGTACAGAATACGCTTTTTTTCTTCTGATTTAGTTAAAAGGTTTCAAGAATGATTATTTTGGTAATTCTTAAATGATTTAAGCAATTTCTTTTTGGATGTATAATCCTAAATAGAGTAGATCTAGAAACAGTATCAAACTGAATAAGACTGATTCAAATAAATGTAATATCCTGTTGCCATCGTTAAATACGAATTCAATTTATATCTAGTAGGTGACTTGTATCCGTATGTTACCTGAAACGGCTATTGTTTTGAAGGTGGCTTTTTTTAAAAAAATTTCCCGACGTCTCAATAAATGATAAAGAACATTGACAGTTTAATTGAATGTCATGTTGAATGAGTTCTAACGTCAGGATGATTTACTAGTGAAAATTGTTATGCTAGACATCCTCAGACGTATAAACTATACAAAGTACGTATCAGTCTAATACTTTTCTAATTTAAACATATATAAATAAATATGTATGTGCATATCAGATTTTACTAAATCATTTAACTTATCAATAATACTGCAGTTGAGTATAAAACTTACTTAGATGATCCAGATATTTTTATACACTAAATTTTCAGATTCGTATTATAATAACAAAATAGAAAACCATTTTATGAGAAACTGTTTTTTAATTTCATACATGGAGGCTAGTGCTGGGACCTAAAACGTTTTACATTAATTTATAATTGTTTTAGAAAAGATGCTACTTGTTAACTGAATGGTCTAAATGACAATTATCTGACTTTTTAATTATCAACCATCGAGTACTCTTCTCAACTAAAGCACTAGTATAAAAGGATATAGAATCAGTTGACAAGTCTCATCGTCTAATTAAAATCATCAGCCTGATGAACTTAGATTGTACTTTGGCTTTGTGAAAAAGTACTTGTTTTTTTTTCATATAAAAGAGATTACCCATCTTTATTTTCCTAAGCTTTGAGTAGAAAATCAATAAGTTTTATTAAACATGTTAACATACATTCAATAGGAAATCGATTTTCAAACTTTAGATAATGAACTTTACAGTTATTACCTATAAATAACAATGTACATTATGATATATTGAAATGATATCTTTTTTTACATGTATGGTAGACTTCTTTGTGTATTTTTTCTTCTGTTTTCAGTGTATTGAGCTATAATAACTTGCAATGTATTCATCCAGAAGCTTTTCATGGCTTATCCAATCTCCGAGTTCTGTAAGTGTTTCACTAAGATGTATTCTTGTGTTTAATTCATGACTCGTGACAAATTATATTTTGCTTTGCTTCCCTATATATTCAGAAACGATTTATATCGTTGATGGTTAAACGTATGTCAAAAAAAGATCTTTGTAGTTAGTTGAAGAAACAATGGTCATTAATCAGCATAATAGTTATACATTTTTATGCTTACCTGACAATTTCTAACGATAAAACCGTAAAATATAATATATTTTAAGTTTATGAATTTTGTCATTTTCTTTATCATACAGAATAAGTACTTGATGTTTACACTTTCATATACTTCCTATAAAAAACTTAAGGCTTCTATTGAATGATTCCTATCATTACAAAGGACTGTATAAGACGGTGTTATTCCTTCTTATCAATCTATCCTTACTTTCCTCTAGAGGAAAAAGAAATAATAAGCATATTTGTTCACTAACTCATAATACGAATATATAAGTTACTTCAAAGGTCATATACTCCATTTTTACTATGCAAAACTGTATTATAATAGTGTATGACATTAGTATTTCAATCAAAATATAAAAAATCTATGTTCTAATTATCTTTACTCATCAATTATCAAAATGATAGACATAACCAAATGTTAAAAATAACATATTTTGTTTCTACGATATCGGGTAACTAATAAACTAACATCGAAAACACATATGTTACCATTAAATTAAATCTATTTCATTAGTAACAAAAAATATGAATAGATCAGTTTCCATACTTTTAAGAGATGCTTAGAAAAATGATTCGTCTAAATAATATTGTATATTTTGATTGAAAGAAATCAACTACTAATCATTTCAATCATTCAATTCTCAATCAAGTATCAACAATTATAACTTCAAAGTAATACATCGTTTACATGATAGTGATATTGATTCATCAAAACTTGCTTTCAGGTAATTAGAATAAATAACAGGATTAACTAGTGTTATAAATGGAAATGTGGAGAAAAACTCGTGTTTATTTGTTTTTATCATATTTTCAAAAGAACATTATATTCGTTTATTAGTAATATTCATAATTTGCTTAAATCTTATTGGAACGTGTCAAACGGAATAAATGTCCTGGGTTTAACTACTAGTCACTGTATTCGATGGTTAGAGATAATGAATGGGAAATCTTGGCATAGATTTTGTTCGATTCGATCATCGTTAACAAGGCATACCAGTAACCTTGTAGATACTGAAATTCCTTGTCGGACTTGAAATCAGATCATCCAGCTTTACAGTCTGATATGTTACCGGTGATGTATTAGGGCCATGACTGACATTATATAACACCGAAATATTCTTTATTGGTTGATGGAACATTACACTGATCAATTCTCTGTGATTAATCAGTTGTACCAGTCACTAATACGTAAAAGTATAGTTAGGAGAATAATATGAGCTGATGATAAACACATATTTATGTATAACTTTGGATACACTTTACAAGTTATTTACTCTGTTCTGATGTTTAGTTAAGTAGTCGTTAACTCACAGGTTTCAGCTTACTCCTTTTCTATAATTCATTGTACATACTGCTATGTTTGAAGAGATTACGAGTTCACCTTAATCTGAAAACGGAACGAACACTCAATGACACAGTGACAGATAAGCTAGCTATTTCGACACGTCCCAGTCCCGCTAACCAGAGGGAGAAGTCCATATCCGGAAGAGGTGAATATCTTCCACAAGCTCCCAGAAGCACTAACAACAACAAGCGTATATATATACGGCATAAAAATGTCCTTGAAGCGTTATAAAATAGCACACTAAAAGATATGACGAACCAATAGCGTTTAAGATCCTCTCAATTGAGAAATACGACAGGAAAGTAAAAATGAGCGCTTTTTGCGCGAAAACAAGAAATTCAAATTGTTAAAATAGAATTATAAAAATAAGGTATTTACCAAGTGAGTTCTGCCGATCCAACATCTTCAACACATACATCATTAAAAAAACATAATCCCTTCCTTATGTTTCTTTTCATCAATATTTTTTTTATATAGAATACTTCAAGGGAACAATATCTCTAGTGTACCACAGGGTACATTTAATGATCTTGGTCAACTAAACAATGTGTAAGTTGTTCTTACTTATTTGTATCATTTATACACTTTTCTTGTCAATTTTTTATTATTCTCTCAACTATCTTATATATACACATATATTTATAAAAATACGCATACTTTTCATTGTTTATCTAAAAAAAAAGAAAGAAAAACAGAAAGAAAGAAACTAATAAAAAAGGAATAAAACTTTAAAATAGACACACAAAAGAAATGATTATTTGAAACAATATAGTAAATTTAAAGTACATGTATATTTCTATAGAATGTAGAACATGATTTATAAACTAAGTAACGATTATACATATACATATCTGTCTGTTTTATTAGTAATTTCAGTAGTATATATCATGTGATTTATTGAAATTTATTTAACTAATATAACATTTTTTGTAGATAAATTCACATTGATGTAGACCATTGTTGTTTATCAAGAATTTTTTTAATAATAAAATAGACATAAGATAAAAATGTTTTTTATTATATTCAAATTTCAGAAGGGATTTTTGGGGATATTATGATAATTTTAAATTTGAGATCGTGAATCGATTGAAGCTGAACCATCATGGAAAACCTGAATGCATTGGATGACCGTTCATACTACTATGGGACTCCTCAGCAGTGCGTATCTACAATCTTGCCTGGCGAGATGGGTCCTTGGTTCGAATCTCACGTGGCGGGATCGTGGATGCGCACTACTGAGGAGTCTCACGATAGGAAGAAACGGCCATCAGTGCTTCCAAGTTTTCCATGGTGTTCTAGCTTTAATTGACCCATGATCTCAACTATTATATTCAAATTTGTTTATATATACAAGATGAGAAGCGTATAGAATTTTACTAAAGAAGATTTACTTAATAAGTTACTTTGATTTATTTAACATTTAAATAAACTGATCTATTTTATTAAATAGATAATTTTTGTTAATATTATCAATTTGTCTTATTAATACATAATCAGAGTGGGATTTTGTGGAGATTCTAGTAATATAATAGTTGAATTTATGAGTTAATTGAAGCTAGATCACCAAGCAAAACCTGGAGCACTGGACAACCATTTCGTCCTATTGCGGGACTCCTTAGCAGTGCGCATCCACGATCCTACCTCACGAGACCCGAACCCAGGGCCTATCAGTTCGCGCGCCAGCGCTTAACTACTGGACCATTGAGCCGGCATCCAACGGTGTTAGTTTCTAACTTCAACCAATCCACGAATGTTTCATAGCTTTGTCATGCGAATAAATCCTTCGTGGATAGCTTCAACAGTCTATTCAATACAATGACCAGTTTAGTTTACTTTTATATAATTAATTTCTCAGATTAATATTGACTACTTATATTAATGGCCAGTAGCATCTTACTGTACGAATATTAATTACTAGTCGTTTTCTGTCAAATCTAGGGCACTTGGTCAAAATCCTTTACATTGTGATTGTACAACCAAGTGGCTGAATAGTTTCTTTCGGCAAAATTTCCTAGATAACGGAATCTCCTTGTGTCATAGTCCTTCAAATATGAGGTTAAAATCGATATATCATTCAAAACCTACAGATTTTATCTGTCCATTGAAGCAACAACATGATCCACAAAACGACGTAAATACAAGTTCACTAGTAAATGGAAACGAAAATCTTCTTTACTTCCAAAATGCGAAAATATCATTACCTAAAGACCAGCACAACCATCAAGATCAAATCTCAAATTCAGAGTCAAATCAAGAGATTTTTAGCAAAGAAAAAGAATCCTTGTTAATTGCTGCCAAATGTATGCCATGTTTATTGAATCCATGTCAAAATGGTGGAACATGTTTAGCATTGACTCAGTTGGATTACAAATGTTCATGCAAACCACCATATTACGGCAAGAATTGTGAGCAAAGAGATCATATATGTTCAACAAATCCATGTCAAAATGGTGGTTTGTGTAAAATTACAGCTTACCCAAGTTCATACAAGTATGTTGAAATAATTTAATTGATATTCTTAATAAATCATTTTAATTGAATTAGGTAGTTTTCTTATTAGTTAGCATGCTGATACTTATTGACTAGCCCATCTTTTCCAGCTTTTTACATTGATGTCCCTTGTACACTTTATTGTTTAATTCATTTAAACAGAGGGGCATCACAGTTATAAGGCAATATACTTTTGAATTGTACCTTGCAACATTTTTCAGAATTCTTAGAAATTAGTCATATGTGTTGCATAGAACGTACACTTGTCTTTTGATGAAAGCTCTGGATATTTACTTCTTGATAATTTTCAGGTTTTTATTACACAAAGTTAAATAATTGATAAAATACTTTTCCAATAGTCTAATATTTCATTTCGTTTTCATTCAGGATTAGTAAAAAATTCATTTAAGTAAGAATACTATTCCGTAGCTCGGTAGCCATGAACGAATCTATGTACTCAGTCCTCAGTTACAAATTTTATGTAAGATTTGATAGTATTATCTGACCATTTAAACAAACGTGCATGAATCACAACTTCATCCTACAATATAATGATCAAAAGCCGAGTGCTGTAACCACTAAGTTATTGCTCCTTCCTCAGGTAAGGAACTATCAATACTTCATAGATTCATTTTATTACTAGTCTCCTCGGAAGTTCACATTCACAAACCCAATAGGTATCGAACCTACGGGCTTCAGGCTCTGCAGTTGACGTTTAACTGGTTTATACTTCTGATTTCTGTTTATTCACAATCATGTAAGACCATCATCAGTTGATATTGGCCATTTCGATCTCAAGTCTGACATAATTGAACTCCAGTGGTCACAACTTATTACTGGAACTCGGGGAATTGCCTCTATAAGTTATTCTATAGTAAAGCTATAGAGGTAATCAATGGCTTTTCAGCTAAAATCACGTTGGAATACAACTTACCCTCAAATTCAGATTTAAGCTTGTTTTCCCTTATTACTTAAAGTATTCTAATTTTAGATTAAGTTTCTTGGTAAATTCACCAATAACTTTGGAATAGGAGAAATGAAGTATCCGAAACTATTTGATCGAAATTTGTTATGAATGAGTCCTACAAGTGATTGTACTTCTTAATATAGATCTTGATTGTGAAATTAATGACATCAATAAGGTCAAAATAAAAATTTCATTACACTAGTGAAATACACTAAACGTAATTAAAGTTAGGTAAATTTGACCTGATTCCTGTTACTATGTTTCAGATTGGGTACTTTATTATCACATATTTAAACAATTTTAGCAGTAAAAAATAGTTTGATCATATATTCGGTAGAATACTACAACTCACCTTTTAACGACCTTCATTTATTGTTACTTTCATAAAAGTATTACACATCGATGGTGTCTTATTTCTTTACTGGAAATTACCTTATATCTTTCATGACTTTTCCCCAAGAAGTATTAATTATTCATTCTATTTAAGTTTATTTCTACTTTTAAGTAAGCGTATGTGAATCAACCTCTTCTTATAGTTTATAACCAATTTTCATCACTTTATCATAAACTAAATTTTATCCCGAAAGTCGAACAAAAGTTGATACTTCTTTAGTTTTAGTTCAGAAATCTCTCAGAAGTTTGTACCATCTGGCGATTTCGTCATGCAATCTATAATTTTAATGTACGACAACAAAAATATCAGGTGAATAGATTATAAGTAAGATTTGAAGAAACCGACCAATAAATTGGCAGTAGTGACGAAGTTTGAAATGAAATGAGTCTCTAAGTTGCTAATTATGGTTAGTTCATGCTAAGGTGATCTCTATCACTTATGTTTTCTGGTTGATATAAGTACACATTCATATCTTACTCTCGACAATGGATGGAAAAATTGTAGACTATTAAATAAATATCATATCCTTTCAAATTGTCCAGTCCAATTCGCTTTACTGAGTAGAGTATGTATTCTTTTAATGTTTCAGATGTATCTGCCCGACAGGTTTTTATGGACCAACGTGTACCAGACAAATGGAAACCTGTAAGCAAAATGTTTGCGAAAATGGAGGGACATGTGAAGTCTTAGATAATGATTATCGATGTCATTGTACATCTCTATTTCACGGTTGGTTTAAATTCACTACATTTGTGATAAATATGATTTGTAATTTGAGATAAATTCCAAACCGTTTTTACGTATCGAACAAAACATTTCTATGCCAAAAAAACTCTTATCACTCAAAAATGGAATGCAGGTAAATTCAACAATATATCTTCAATAAAATCTATCTTACATTGTTGAAAAAAAAACCAAAAGCGACTTATCAATGGATTAAAAGTACAAGTGAAAAATTCTTATTTAAGTGTTATGCTAGATTGTAAGTCTTTTCAATGATCTCAATGATCTAGAACTGGTTGATGTACATTATTTCATTTAACTGACGATAAATAGCTCAAACTTAGATTGAGAAAATGATAAAATAGTGTTTGACTCAATAACGAATATCTACGTCCACAGGAGGTTGTTATAAACTAACTAGATCGAACTGTATAACCCAGTAAAAAGTATTAATATAAGAATTATTCGTTGAATCACAGCTACTATATAAATGTTAGAAATAATGCTAAGGCAACTATAATTTGTTTGACCTGTAACAAATCAAATGAGACTTGGGTAACTACACTGTGAAACTACGGCTTTGTTTTTCGCAGTTGAAACCTTGAGGCATAGACACTTCTTAAAGTCTGCTTTTAACTATATACCGTTCCCTGTGTTAGCCATGTTACATACCGAATAGCGAACGACTTTAACAATATATTATGTGGATTATACTATTCGTAATGTTTCATTTAATACTTGAATTCTCATTTCAAACTGGAAAGCTTTCTGTTACTAGACCTATCTAAATCAAACATTTTTATTTATCGACTAAATGAACGAATATTGAATAGATGAAATTCCCAATTGTCTAATTAAAGCTTATTTGGAGATCTACTCAGTTTGGGAGTGAAGTAAGCTTAGAACATTTAATTTAAACTAAATCAGAGGATTATACAATATTATCCCAATTGTTTGGTCTTTAAAAAATATAGGCAGAAATAATTACCGTCTTTTGTTGTTGAAATGATTTTTGTACACCCCAAGTCCTTAGATATTACTTAATACTAGCCACTTGGCAATTAGGTCTGATATTTTTCTAGCCAAACTAGAAAATGGTCCAGTTAAACAGTTTGTTTGATAATTCACATTTTACTGTCTACTCAGAGATGACATATTCATCCTCTGTAAAAATAGTATATTACAGCAAGAGTTTTTTTGAACAATTTAATGAAGTACCTCCAGCTTTTGGGTAGGGCATAATAGACCTTACCAATGTTCTGTTAAAATAAAAAGTTAATAGGTCAATAAGAAGGGATTTAAACAGAAGTAACCGGACGGGGCATTATACACATTTCATTAGCTTTGCACCTATACAATACAAAAGAAACATGATAAAAACTCTTGTTTATCGAATACGCACTATATATTCTACTGATATATTTAGAGATAAATTAAACATCTTGCGTAATACTCTTAGGGAAAACGGATACTCTGGAATATTATAACAAATATATAACCACAAAGGTTAGAATTGGCAAAATTCAAACAATGGATAAGAAACCCCTGTGTTATGTACCTACAATTCAGAGATGGTGCAATCAGTAAAATACTAATCCAGAGATTACGTAGAATAATTCAGATGACATCTAAAGCGAAAGAACTACGACTTGTTTTTTCGCGCGCCTAATGCTGATACCGAGGTTAAAAGATAATTTACGTAGAATGACTGCTCTTGCGGAGGAAGTTATATCGGTCAAAGTTCTAGGCATCTACATTTTCGTGTTCTTTAACATCTCTGATAAACAACGGTGAATTCAAACCAGTAAGTAGCTCGATACTAGCACATTTAGTGCAAAGTAGTCATAGAGACAGTATAAGTCAGTCTTTCTCAATAATTTATCGCGTTAGTAATTTTCTGACAGAGTCGATCCGACTTAAAGTCCTCCAAACGGCAGAACCACTAGCCATTAGGATCAAAACATCAGAACAACGTTTACTAACGAAATATATTGAACCACTTTTCATACCATGGCCAAACTCAGGGCCGATAAATCAATCCCAATCTTAACTATAGAATGACATACTTTGATGACTACTGTATATACAACCTTTCGTAGTCAAATATCATTAACTTTGCCATTTTTATTCACATATCTTTGTTTTATAATTATCTTTATTGGTTCAACATCACTATTAATTTCCCGAATACACAATTAATTTACTTAACATTCATTCCACTTTATTATTTCTTATTAGATTTATATAACTTTATACACAATATAGTCTTCCAATAAACATTTGATCGAATTTATAGTTGCATCATTATTACTGATGCATATTTAATTTGACTGTTTATACCACAATTTTGTTTAACGTATTAGCCTATTCAAGTTAACATTGCATATTAATCACGTCAACATTAACAATTTTGCTTTAATTTACGATCCTAAATTCACATGCTATAATTTTAAACAATGGACTTCGGTTTCCATGGTGGTCTAGCTTCAACCGACTCATGATCTCAGCTATTGAAATTACTACAATCTACACAAAGCTCCTCTGATTATAATCATCATATACTCACTAATGACTGTTTACAAGAGTAACTTCCTGGAGTTCTAGTGAGAAGCAATGACCAATGGAGTTCAACCGGATCTGTTGTGAGATAGTAACTCACTGGAGATAATGGTGGATGTGTCGCTCAATTTTGTTGATTGATTGAAGTTAGACATTAACACCATTGGATGCCGGCTCAGTGGTCTAAGTAAAGTTAAATAAAAATCTCAAATAGTATTTTAAACATGAGGCTGAGTGGCTCCAACATCTGACTGACTGATAAATGAGATAATTTCTGGTCTAAATTTTGCTATAACTTAAATTTTCTTTTAATTATCATTCAGTTGTATCCATTTGAAACTGGTAAATATCTTTTAAAACTTGTATACGCATTTCAAAACTTCTGCAATGATGTATTAGTCTAGATAATAATTATTATACACTTTTCACTTTAGGTAAAAATTGTCAACATGAATATATTTATTGTGAAGAATTGAATCCATGTGGAAATGGTGGAAAGTGCATTAGTTTGCCAAAGAATAATTACAGGTTAGTGTTTAATCATTATAAACAATGTTGATAAACTTTGATTTTTTTAGATGTGAGTGTTTGGCTGGATGGATTGGAAATGATTGTCAAATAAATCAAGATGATTGTGTATATAATAGATGTGAAAATGGTGCTACTTGCGTAGATGGTATCAATGAGTATATATGTAAATGTCGTCCAGGATATGCAGGTCAGACTAATGAATATTTTAATATTATTGTCGAGTAAAATTTCATAGTAGCTTATATGTAAATAATTTCTAGTCTTCAGTCGAAATCAGGAGTTTGATAGTGTTGTATAGACGTGTTTTATTTTGGATTATTTTATGAATTTCTAGTTAAACTGGATAGTATAAACTCAATAACTTACTGTCAAAAGCTAAACATCCCGACTACATAAAATACGTTATTTATAAACTTAGTAACAAGTCAAAAATGTCATATTTAACCCGAAACCATAATTAACAGTAGGAGAGATGTAAAGGAATTTGGATAAAAAGTTTATAACGTTAGTCATAAACGATTGACTTAAATACAAAGCTATTGACTGAATGTACTAGGGTTTATTTTAAATCTCAGAATATACTTTACTTCATCTGGATCTATATTATAATATTTAACTGAAATTGTTTTATTTATTCTAAATAATTTTGAAACTTAAAGGTATTTATTGTGAAAGGCCAACTTGGAAACAATCAACTTATGTAACACGTATGGATAGACCGTTGAATTATCAATTAGTGATTGGACGTACATCTGTTCCTGGAGTAAGACAATCACCAATAAAAACTCGATCACTAACAACACAAAATCTGGACACACTTTGTGCCTATCAACAATGTCAAAATAATGCTAAATGTGTTGAAAATCAGAATGATGTGTATACATGTATTTGTCAAAAAGGTGAATTTTCTTATATTGCAATTTTATTAAAAATATTTTTACTACTTATAAGTAGTCTCAAAGGAGGTTCCAATGAGAGACGTTTAGAAAATATGTTTGAATTTATTAGCGTCGAAGACATGAAGTCTAAATAAGTGAATGCCGATTATTTAGAAAAACATACCAATAGAGGCAAATAGTCTTTATTTATCCTTGTGGCTGGTTTTCGTAACTAGCTAGTTAGACTTTAAAAATTCCAAAGTGATTGCTATATGAAATCTCCTGATGCCAGAACATAGGCTAAAAGTAACGAAGATAAAAGCAACTGTAAGCACAGTGTTAATAAGCCATTTTCTTATGCAAAATCAACAGCGATTCGATACTGCTGCTTGAAAATAATGTGATATCTTTCAAAAAAAGCTATCTGTATTTCTATTTTAGATAAAATACGTCCTAAATGTTGTACCTATGACTTGTAATCAACGTAAGGCTTTCAAATAATGTCACTATCGCTTACGATAAAAAACACGATTAAAATAGCTTAATACAACCATTGCTTAAAATGCTGTAATCATTTTTCTCTTCAGATAATTCAAGAAGCCGGCTACTTCGGAGTAAAGGAATGGCTTACATTACGTCACAAAACGACAAAAATACAATCTTTTTATTCATTTGGATATAAGAAAATTTATATTTATTATTAACTCACTACCCAATGCTCGATTTATTTGAAATTATTAAGTTCAATCTTGATAATAATACCCGTAAACTCATTAAGAAGTAATATTATTGAGCAGATATTTATTGACAAAAAGTACCACAAATGGTCCATATAGTTATTGTCAACAAATTAGTCACTGATACAGTTGTGTAACTTTTAATAACGCTATCAGAATAGTGATATTGTTTTTAGCATTTTCAAGAATACGATGGGAAATCGTAAGGGTCTGAATGAACATAAAAATACAGTACAAATAAAATTGTAATAAATTCTGTGGGACTTTGTTATCACTAAATGTATAGGGCCACAGAAGTATGAAATAGGGTAGAGAGGTTTACGAAATAGGTCACTTTTGCAGGATCTCAGTTTATTACTTTCAATATCTCGACAACTACCAAAGACTAATAGAGGAATAAGATTTCTGGTGAAATTACGGATTCCTTACTTAAACCGTACATTTGAATTTTTCAATTTTCTTAATCAGGTTTTTCTGGCCAATTTTGTGAAAATTTATTCGCCATAAGTCTACCAAGCCCTCATTCCTACGTGGCAGTTGTACCACCAAGTAGAGGTGCATTAGTACCAAGTGGAACAATAAGTTTTGAAATGGCCACAAGATCAACTAATGGAATTTTGTTGAATTTCATTGATACAAGTTTAATAAATAATTCGGATGGTATTCCTGAACATTATTTATTAGTCGATTTGCATGACGGACGAATTCATGTTAAATTCTCATTAAATCGAAATTACACTGCTCATAATGTGAACTGTAATGTAAATGTAAGTGAGTCATCGTTATAAAGTATACATTATCCTAACATCGTTCTATCTCTATACTTTAAATAACGTTCACTAAAAATTTCTATTTACTTGTTTTCGATGAAATCAACGAAAAAATTGTGTGCATTTTCTTTCTGAAGTTGCTGATACATTTTAATTTCTTCTCTTAATGTCAGCCTAATATTCGTCTTGTTGAAAGACAATCTGAAACCAAAGGTATTTATGACTTGTGATGAATAGCAGATCACTTTCTTAACTGTCACATATGAAGTAACAGGTATTTTATTGTTATGAGTAAATCATCACTGATGAAACAGTTTAGTTAGTTCTCATACCATTTATATGTGTCAATATTTCTTACAATATTAGTTTATAATCTTAAATTTATCTTAGTACTAACGTTTGTCAACTTCAGTTCTTTTTTCACTTCCATAATCATCTAGTGTCGATATACCTTTGCGTTTTTAACAGAACACATCGCACTTTTAAATCATATAATCATTCATCTCCAAGTAACCACCTGTAACGTCAATATTCCAAATTGTTTTGGTAGTTTTCTTTATCCTATTTCTTTTTTATTATCTCATAGATAAATGATGGTAATTTTCACCAAATTAAGTTATATCTAGAAGCCGAGATTCTGTTTCTTTATATTGACAATAACTTATGTATAACTATGGGTAAAGTTAGTACAAAGTTGAATGAATCAATAAGTAACCATGGTCACAATAATCCAATGCATTCATCTTCAATATTCACATATAATATGGTAATTAAATCGCAACATTTGGCTTTAACAAGCCCATTATATTTTGGTGGCGTACCAGCTGATCAATTAGAAATAGCACGCCATCTGACAAATGGAATATCTGAACTAGGACTAACCGGTAAGTTTTAAAATATTGACAACCTATAACATGCTATAACACTGTATTTTAAACTAGAAATTATATACTATAGATGCAAATTTGTTCTAGTAAATCACACGATTGTAACTTTACATAAAGCTAAACAAATTTGATTTTCATTTCAGATATAAGGTTGAATTCCTAATCGTTTTATATGCATGACACAGGGTACACACTTTAAAATTTCAAATACATTCTCCTTGCATGACTTATTAAAATAAACATTTAACGCAAATATAACTGCCTTATCCCAGAACCAGAAGTTTACATATTTTTATCTGACGTGATGACTATTACTTAAAAAGTATCCTTATAAAATTCTAATATTAATTATACCCTAACGCTTCAGAAAAAATTCAATAATGAAACCTGAGATCACAAGTTACAAGATTATTAAACTATCTAAACCCAAACTAATGAACACAAAGTTAGTAATTTCTTTAAATTGCTGATAAAATTTGTAAAAGACTTGGTTACTGTCAACCAAGTTGTGTTCTCTGATTCGGATCGTAATCAAAGTGGATTGGTTTAATATTTACAACATGATCTTACAAAACACCCAACCTCTGTATGAAGCGCATGTTCATAATATTCCCAAGAATAACTATAAAGGTATGCAGCTGATACGTTCATCAGTATCATTATTTGAGGAATTAATATAAAATCATTTAGTCTGTCAAATATCAGGAACTAATATACAAATACAGGGAAAACTGAGCGAAAAGGAACGGGATTTGTTCTATTTATATCAATCTTAAAGATGTTTTTTCATCACTTAGAAGTTTTCATCACGTGTTGAATCATTATTGTATTAAATAGTTTTAGGCTGGAACAAAACAAAATTCCTCGTTTTTAACGGTTCTCACAGGTGATGTTCGTTTTTTGAGGAAAACTGTCTATATATATAATTTCTTAAGTGAAATATAAATTTGCAGTTGCATTTAAGTTAACACATTATTTAACAAAACAGAAATAAAAGTAACGTAAACATAGACAAACTTTGGACAGCATGAATGAACTAGTTACTAAACTTCTTTATGTAAATTGTTCATGTTGTTTTCCATTAAAAATAACTAGTTTAAACTTTTATGCCAATAATCATGTTTCAACAGTTATAAACTGTTGACGAGAAGCCTATGAATGGTTAATTTATCTTTTAAAACTCATGAAGATCACATCTGTTATAATAGATTAACTTAGGCTTCTTCATAGTCCTGAATAGTTGCCTCAAACATAGCTGTGTTTGACAGCCTGATATACATGAATTTTCTCAATATCTCAAATACGACTTATTGCTGAATCCCAGTGGAAGAAGAAACTAAGTTATCAGCTTTCTGCTTCTCCACTTGAAAAAATATCAGTTTCAGCATGACATAGTTAAGCAGCCAAAACACGGGTTTATGAAATGATTCAGTTAACAATTAAGAGAGAAAATAGAATATAGTTTGATACTTCAAAGCTGGTCAAACAAATCTTAATCACCTGTCATCCTTTTCATGAAACACCGACACACTCAGAAACCAAAATAACTTTATTTTACGGGTGTATGAGTTCAATTCGAACCACTAGTTCTGCTCAATGACATAATCTCCATAAGTTTTATTTTAAATTTAACGCAAGCTTTAATTATATTAAACACAATGAAGGGGGAACATTTAGATGTTCCTGATTAGCGCAATTTGTCTTATCTAACTTATGGAAATCGTTCTTTCATATTCAGCATTACGCAGTCTTTATATCAGTTGAAATTATTACGAAATATTTCTGCTGAGGATCCCACTATATAAGCTAACTAACAAACTTATTTATTCATTATAACTAGCACCTGCAATATTGGTATGAGTGGTAAAATATATCGCTTTTCTTTTCTGTGTGGATTATCCTAGTGTCCATTATATTTGATTAACTAATTACTTAAATAAACATTTACTTAACTGACAACCAAAATTATCAAACCTTATGAAATCGTTGGATACTGTTTTCAATTGCATAGATTACATAACTGTATGCATAAATCTATACTTATCACACGTTCCAGTAACTAAATAGTTCAGAGTTGACAAAATGATAATTTAAACATGTAATTTTACAGATTACACCCAAAACTTTTATATGAACAACACGCTTTCATCTAAATGTTTACATTCTAAAATTAAAAGCTCATGCTATTATGACTAATCAGAACTTGGAATTCAAAACTGAATAAATATACATGAAATCGATTGGGTTTTAAAATAACTTCATCTGTTTCAAAGAGTTTGCAATTTGCAAAATGTTCAAATAAATTAGAAATAGTTCAGAAGTGTTACAACACTGAAATAAGGTTGATTAGTGAACTATCAATCGTTGATTTCAGTTTCTGTCCAATTCAAATTTTTATTATCCATAGGGAGTTACACACACTTTACATTAGAAGATCTTATTCCTGTTGAGTTGGATGTTCATATCTTATTCATTATTTAGGGTTATCCAACTTAATCCCCAAAAATGTGTATAGTTGATGTTAGAAACTAACTCCACAATGTAAAAGAAAAAGAATTCTCTAATTTCTGATGGAAAATTATAACCAATTCATAAATGAGACCTCAACTCATTGATAACATTTAGTGGGAATCAAGATTTATCACAAGTTGATTGGATTTGAAAATATAAGCAACGCTAGTTGAAGGAACTAGATACTCTAATTTCGATTCTGTGAGGTGTCTTGAATGTGTACTGTTGAAAAGTTTCAGTCTCAGACAAAATAGCTATCAAATGTTCGTTGACATTCAGTAGTCGGCTGACTGATATCATGACGAGCGATCATTAGTGATAGGCAGGTTTGTTTACCGATTTCTTCATCAAAGAATTTTTATCGATGAGGAGTATACCCCTATTTTAGACATTGTATGTATTATTAATTTGTTTTCTAATCTTAATGGAGCCTCAAAAATGGTTCATTAGTCAGTATTTTTAACTTATGTTTTCTGTTGGCAAGGTTGTATAAGGAATGTACAAATTAATGGTCGAATGATTGACTTTGCTCGTCTTTTCGGAGCACCAGTGGACAAAATGACTGTGGCAGAAGAACATGACACCGATTCATCTTCACCAGAAGCTAAACATCATGGGACCGCAATCGGAATATTGCCAGGGTGCAGACTAAACAATGAAAAATCAGAATATACGGAGTCTGCTGCAGAATTTCAGATAAATAATAATGAGAGTGAAAAACTGAAGTCGATTAACTTTAATATGAACGAAGAGTTAGCGACCAGAAAAATTGAACCATTGAAAATAGGACAGTTACATTATACAAAAACCAATGATAATCCAACTTCTGCGATCCTCATGGAAATAATCCATGTCTTAATGGTGGAATATGTGAAAATAGTGAAATGAATCAAACTATAATGTATCAGTGTAAATGCCCAAATGGTTACAAAGGAGAAAGATGTGAAATAGGTATGCTAATCTTCATTACTGTTTATCCTATTTTCTCTATTCCAAGATCTATTTTTATTTAAATTTATTTTACGTTTAAAACTTCTAAACAAAAGGAACTGTGATATACACTTTACCTCTTCTAAATATATTTCATGACTAAACTGTACCTATACGAAATCAAACCAAAGCCAGAAAAGTGATTATTTCTGTTTGAATGATTCACCTACCTTAATAAATGTATCAAATTTGACATTTAAGAACTGAATACAAATAACTTGAACTAATTTTGTACATTCCATTATGGGTATGAAAAAAAAATTTCACAAACGGTTAACACAAGTAGATCTTAAGCATATATTCCTACAAAAAAGAAAATAGATAGATTGAGAAGAGTATAATTATCATATTTATTGTTTATTTACACTTTTACATTGAAATTCATCAAGTTCTGGTATTAGACTTTAGATAGAATGGATTGAAATCATCACTTGAACATATCGTGCACATCTTCAGACATTGTTCATGTAAACACATGAAATGTTACTCTAAATTGTACATTTACTTGAAATAATTGCCTATAATGAAGATATTGAAGAGTATTAACGGTGAAAATTTAAATTTTTCGAAGACAACATAGAAAAACTAATAATTGAGAAAGTAAAATTCTTTGTGTAGATATGAATTCACTGAAATAAGTACTTCACTTTGAAACTATGAAAGTAATTAAGGATGTTTATTTTATACTAGATGTTTACAAACAATTAACATTCACAGAATATATATGAATTAAACAGTATTACGTAATTTATTTCATAAGACAAGTTGCTATTCTCACTAGCTGTAAATACTTTTTACTTATTATTTTTATTTGTGTAATCTATGCTATGGGAAGATTCAAGTAAATTCAAGTGAATTAAACTCCACCCCATTGCACAAGCAAGTGGCAATCAGGACTCAGTAGCTAAGTGGATAACGCGATGGTGTTTGGAGCGAACGGTACTGAGTTCGAGTCCCAGAGTGGACATCAACTCTGAGATACAGGCACATCCAGCTGACGAGTCCCAAACAGGACGAAACGCGCGTCGTGGATTCCACTGCTAGCCACTATCCATCTCTGCTTATAATGCTTGTAAATTAAGGCAATATCGAGGCATACGCACAGTATGCACATATGCCAATAAGAGACTGATTAATTTCAGTCCTAAAACATCAATGGGAAGATTCAAGTAAAATAATATCAAGTGAATTAATCTATGCTATGGTTATCACTGTCATATGAACTGCCTTGATTAGTTTAATAACTTTACATATCCATATAATTATTTATGTATATTAAAATAAAGCTTAATAAGGATTTAATTGTAAACAATATTGTTCGCTTGTATATGGTGTAGGAATTAGTTTATAACCTGGAACATCAGTAATTTGTAACATCAATTTGCTTAAGTATTCAAAATTGTTTTAATTGAGCTATTGGGTTGTAGATATCATTGAGTTTTTGATTAAGATTATGAATCGATGAGTGTTAGACCACTACTGAAGACCTGGAAGCATCGCATGGCCGTCTCATTCTAGTATGGGACGTGGTATATAGGGGTTTAATCGTTAAATCTTAGGCAACGGACGACAAATAAAATTTCATTGAATTTTCCGAAAATTGGCACTGATGTCAGTAACCAGTCAGTTTATACGCCGAAACATATTCAGTTAATTAGGTTTTTGAACTAGATCAAAGGTCAAGTCTACTAAACAAATCATTTGTTACGGTGTGTCATGAAATACAATCTATTATAAATAATTATACATCAGGTCATCATAATAAATGAGTCAGTGATTTGCTATGTAACTGTCATCCCTAACACGTTTAGTACAGCTTCGTTTATTCTATTTAGAAAGACAGTAAATGCTGCAAGGCTAAACCCAATGCAGTGCATAAGAATATGATCTCCATAAGATCATCTTGAACTTCAAACATTGTTTTTATCAAAGAAATGTATCCACATAACTGGACAATACATAAAATATTATTTAATATAAATTATTTGTGAGTAATAAAAAAGAACTTATAAATAAGCGTTCCACTATTATAGTAATTCCCCAAAAGGTTAGGATATACTGACAAATCTGGCTAAGAATATGTTTTAGCTTCGTAGCTACTGACGTTGCCAGTAGACGTCCACTGTTTTCTGAAGGTTTTAACTGATTAATGAAGTATGGAAACATGTGTTATCCAGTCTATGTATTTAATATGTAGCACATCATTTAAAACTCCAATTAATTCAACTAAAATAACTCTTACTTTACCCCTTACTGATACAAATCCTAGTACTGTTTTTGTTGTTATAAATAAAACTAACTGTAATATCCATCATCACAAATCAATAGACCATACTTTCTATCAGTTCCCTTTAATAATTTTTCTTAATATGAAATTTTCGTTTCTCCATTCTATGGGATCTTAACATCTTTAAGGAATCATAGACAATAAGGGTTTTTTAAGGTTAATCATATATTCGTCTAACATGAAACTAGTTTATTAAAACAATTTGTGGATTTCTAGAATATATCTACGCACCTTTATGGAGCATTTAAGGTATTAATTATTATCAGAAGGGGGGTTATTATTACCTTTCTTTTAGAAACACTAAAATAGCCATAAACTATCTAATCATATAATCAAATCACCTTTCTCATTGAAAAAGATCAGTCAGATAATTTTATAAAAAATTGTACTATAACTAGTTGGTATTTCGGTTATTTAATGATCTTACTGATCGATTTAAGGGCATCTAATTATGACCATATGAAAAAAAAGAAGAATTATCAATCAAGTGATATGTTAAATTGTATGATAAAATAAGCCAATCAGTCTTGATATAAGTTATGAGCATAAAAAATGAACCAGAATAATATTGTATATGACATTTATTGACCAAAGTATTAGCATATTATCTGCGCATATTCGAAAATAATTTATTATGGGACTTTTATCAGAAGGGGTTTTGTGGAGAGTTTAGAAATTTCACTGATTGAAATCATGAGTCAATTGAAGCTAGACCACCATGGAAAACCTGGAAGCATTGGACGGCCGTTTCATCGTATTATGGGACTCCTCAACAGTGCACATCCGTGATCCCGTTTTCCATGGTGATCTAGCTTCAATTGACTAGTGATCTCAACTACTAAAATCATATTTGTCAATCATTATGGGTTTTTTTTTTAATTTTGAGTATGAGAACAATATCGAACATTTTAGTGGTAGTTTTATGCAAAGAAATTATTAAAAATGACAAAATTTAACAGAACAGAACTGCATCAAAAATACTAAACAAAATAAATGCGTCGATTAGTCATAAACAACGTAGAGGTGTGCATAAATATGAATTGGCTCATCTTGTCGTGTAAGAAATGTTTTAAACAGAAGAACAAGTTTTATTCTTTGAAGTGTACTATTTCATAGTTATACTGAAAACTAACCCGACCGTTGTTGCTACCTTGACGTGGTGGTCGGGCTTGCCTATCGTGATGAAGCAACCGAGCTATACTGGCTGGAACAACCGTTCCTCAAGGTCCTACCATGTCAGACAGGTCGGTTGAAGAGCGGTAAGACTAAAAGCAACAAACCCAAGGTCCGAAGGCGAAGTCGTACTGCTGACTGTACAGAGGTGTGACAGCAGTAAGGTGTTTCCTTCAGACAACCAGCATGACAGCGATGCTGCCTTCCCACAAGGAGGGGTGGGGTTAGAAAAGGTCGACCCTAAAAATGCACACCTCGCCTTATCCCACGGATATCCGTCTCCGGCGGTAAGGTCTCAATAAGTACGGAGCTAACACAAAAATTACCCATAACAAGGTCGTGTGTGACCGACCTCAAGCAGTTGTCCCTTGGGCACTGCGGTCACGCTCTCAGTCACTAAGACCACCTTTAATCCAATTTCCTTTTCAGGTACCTCCAGAACAACCCTTCCACGGTGTGGGCAACCGGGAAGTGATAACCGCCCTCATACTTCTAACAGCACTCAAGACCACTGTATTCATAATCAACCTCCTCTTCAATTCCTATTATTCCTCCTACATCGACTTTCAACTCTAAATTTCCTCTCTCGGCTTCCACCTCAAGTGTCACCATAGCCAACGATTCTAGTGCGCAAAACACTGTCCCAGGTCTACTGAAACCTCGCTCCAAACTACACATTGGAGCCTTCAACGTACGCACCCTATGTCAAATCGGTCAGCAGGCTTCCTTGGCTAAAACCCTAGAGTCTCTTTCCATTGATGTATGCTGTGTCTCCGAAACACGCATACAGGATTCCAGTGTGGTCATTCACTTGACCTCACCTCGGCAAGACGGAGAGCCAACGAGATACACCCTTCGTGTGTCCGGTGACCCGATGGCAAGTTCTCGTGGACTGGCAGGTGTAGGCATAGCACTAAGCATAAGGGCCGAACAAGCACTGCTAGAGTGGATCCCCGTCAACAGTCGTCTATGTGCTGTTCGGCTGAACGGCTACGTAAGAACTCGGAAGGATAGGGACACACGTCGTTGCCTTTTTGTCGTTTCTGCCTACGCTCCCACTGACTGCAGCTCAGATGAAGTGAAAGATGAATTTTACAGAAAGCTATCCGAACTTCTTCAGAAAGCTAAACGCTCAGACATAGTACTCGTAGCAGGTGATTTTAATGCTCAGATAGGCAGTTTAAACCAAACAGAAAGGCATTTAGGTGGATATTTTAGTATTCCGACACAGCGAACAGATAATGGTGATCGTCTGCTGCAGCTATGCTCAGACAATCGTTTATTTTTAGCAAACACAAATTTTAAGCATAAGGAGAGACATCGTCTAACATGGCGACCCCCTACACCAAACCAACGATGGACTCAAATAGACCATATTGCCATCAGTCATCGTTGGAGAGGGTCGGTAGAAGATTGTCGCTCATTCTGGAGTACCTGCTTGGACTCCGACCATGCCCTAATACGGGCACGCATCTGCTTGCGCCTCACTGGACGCAAAAAAGCCACATTAAAAAGACCCATTAGAACTGAGTTGAGTAACGAGAAAACCAAAAGTAGGTTCCAGGAACAACTGAGGTCACACTTAGGTAGTTGTGAAGACGAGGCTGACCCAGATGTTGCTTGGAAGGACATACAAGCAGCTGTGGAAACAGCAGTGACATCTATTAGTGACTTAAACCACAGAGTTACAAGGAACCAGTGGATTTCTTCAAGGTCTGTCACACTGATGGATTCTCGCAAACTCGTCCCATCAGGTTCTGAACATGATGAAGAGCGTAAACAAATCAGATCTAGGTTAAGAAAAAGTCTAAGGAACGACCGTGAGCAGTGGTGGGTAACGAAAGCAAAAGAGATGGAAAAGGCGGCGACTATAGGGAACACAAGACAGCTTTACAGACTAATAAAAGAAACTGGAATTAATAAGTCAAGTGTAAGTGAGATTATTTCGGAAAAAGATGATACTCTCATCTGCTCCCAGTCCAGACGTTTAGAACGATGGGCGGAACATTTTAGAGAACAGTTCAGCTGGCCTTCAGCTACTCTACAACTACCCTCCATTCCCAGACAAAGTGAATGGAACATTGAAGTAGGTCCCCCAACTCTTGCTGAAGTTGAGAAGGCTATAGTTAATCTGAAACGAGGAAGGGCAGCTGGTCCAGATGGACTGGCTCCAGAAGTCTTTAAGGATGGTGGTCCAATTTTAGCGATTAGGTTGACTAATATTTTAGCTAAAATCTGGGAGTTAGACGTTATCCCATCTGACTGGTCGCAATCACTTATCGTCCCAATATATAAGAAAGGGTCAAAATCATCCTGTGACAACCACAGAGGGATTAGTTTAACAAACATAGTATCTAAAATACTGGCCTCGATAATTATCAAACGCCTAACTAAGACTCGTGAACTACAAACACGAGAGAACCAAGCTGGCTTTAGACCTGGTCGTGGCTGCATCGACCACATATTCACCATTCGTCAGGTTCTAGAACACAGGCATACCTATCGGCGTCCGACGATGGTGGTCTTTCTTGACTTAAAAGCAGCATTTGACTCTGTAGACCGCGAGACTCTGTGGCAGTGTCTGTCATTGAAAGGCGTACCTCAGAAGTACATAAACCTTGTGAAGGCTCTTTACTCGAACACTACTAGTCGAGTCAGGGCTTATGGCGAACTGTCATCTACCTTTACAACCTCAAGTGGTGTCCGTCAAGGCTGCCCACTTTCTCCATTTTTGTTTAACTTCATCATAGACCTATTGATGGAAATAACACTCTCGTCGACTGAATTCTCGGGTATTGATCTCCTTCCAGGAGGTCCACTTATCGACTTAGAATATGCAGATGACATAGTCCTGTTTGGTGAAGACGCTGACAAAATGCAGAGTCTTCTGGTAGCACTAAGCAACAATGCCAGAATGTTTGGGATGCGCTTCTCTCCCTCTAAATGCAAGTTGTTGCTTCAGGACTGGTCTGCGTCAACACCTGAACTAAGGATAGGGAGTGAAGTAGTCGAACGTGTTGACAACTTCACTTATCTTGGAAGTCTGATCAGCCCTAATGGGTTGGTGTCTGACGAAATCTCAGCACGGATTCGTAAAGCTCGTTTGGCTTTTGCCAACTTACGTCACCTTTGGCGGAGGCGAGATATCCGTCTATCAATAAAAGGACGAGTATACTGCGCGGCTGTCCGTTCTGTTTTAATTTACGGCAGCGAAACATGGCCCTTAAGAGTAGAAGACACCCGTAAGCTACTAGTATTTGACCACAGATGCCTTAGAAATATTGCTGGCATCTGCTGGGATCACCGGGTAAGTAATAGTGAGGTTAGACGCAGGGTATTAGGGAATGATGGTAAATCAGTTGATGAGGTTATGAATCTTCATCGACTGAGATGGTTGGGCCACGTATTACGTATGCCTGAACACCGATTACCACGACGTGCAATGCTAACCGGTGTAGGGGATGGTTGGAAGAAAGTTAGGGGCGGCCAAACCAAAACGTGGCATCAGTGCCTGAAGTCACTAACTTCTAGTCTGAGCCATGTTGGTAGATGCAGACTACTTGGTTGGGGTCCGCGTGACTTTCGTAACCAATGGTTGGAGACCCTTGGTGACATGGCTCAGAATCGATCACAATGGCGTCGGTGTATACACTCTCTGTCTTCTCTTAAACTAAGAGATTAAGATCACTTCACATCTTTCTTTCTACGAACTAATTCTTTCTTCCTATACTATATCCTTATTGCAATCTTTCTCCTATATATTACCACCTTTGACCTAACCACTCCTATGAATCCAGTGTTCATCTTGCTGTGCTAATGAGGTATGGCAACCTGGGCCGATGCATACATGTGCCTGGTCCTACGTTGTAGCTGACTGACTGACTGACTGAAAACTAAGACTACTGGTAAAGTAAGACGTCTATTGATCGGGATAAGTAGAATGCACAACTCTTAATGATTCAATCAAAACTGTTCGCCTTAATACTAACTTGTCATTCTGTTATAACTTGTGGCCTGTGTGCCTTGTTACTGTATAACGTAATGATACCGCCAATTAGAGAACAGTAATTTATCTATCGGACCAATGACGTATGAAACATGTACGAGCAATCTAGAGTACTTATAGGTCCTGTTTCCTGCCTAGTCCAGCCAGTTAAGTCCAAAACACCAATCTCAGCCTCTGCGGTATGAATCATTTATTTCAAACATACTAGGTTTATATACCAACCAGAGAGACCACATCGTACCATAAAATATGAAAACAACATTTGTACAAGATTTAGTCAAATGTAGCTGTGAATAAGGGAGATAGTAATTGATAGATAGGGCATAACTCAGGCATGGTAAGTCGCATAATAACAGTTCATAGGTCAAAATAAAGCTTATGATAAGAGGAACACGAATATGAGTAGTTTAGTCATTTAACACATTCAGTTAAAACTATCTACTTTTTTGGTATTCACAGTTTGTGGATAATTACCACAAGTTCTTGTCAATGAATTTCTTTCTTGTTAGTATTTAATAACAACTGGAAAGTTATACACTTTAAAAAATTACCATCGAATTTTTCGGATCATTAACAAACTTAAAAAAAAACTTTAGCAGTCAACACTATAAAGCTAGCATGAAATATATTCCTCTTCAATGAAAAATTATTGAGGAAAAAACCAATCACTTTAAATACAATGTTCATCATGAATCACTACTAGTAGTGACAATAGTAAAACCAATTCGAAACTGTGTCTGACGATTATTCGGCCTTCTTACCAATTATAAACTATAACCCTGTTTTGATAGAATTTATGAACTCCAGCACTTTTTCAGTTTTCATGGAATGTTCACTTAAAATTACTCAAGTCTCCCATAACTACGAATCTTAAGTCTAAACATCTACTCATTCTTCTGTTAATTCAAAGTCAATTTTTTAGAGTTCTTAAAATACCGTTACTATTATAATCAAAGAAGCCTAATTTTGGTAGTTTAAGCCTAAACTACTGAACTATGAATTCATTTACATCTAAGCACAACAGGTAATAGATCGTAACTTAGGGATTCATCGACGAAATGTTCCTGATAATAAATATTCTCATAGATTTTGCTTCATAAGAGATAGTGGGATGAGTAGCTTGACAGTATCCAATGAATTGCGGAGGAGTGGCTCATTGATTAAGAGTTTTGACTGTGAGCCACAAAGTCGCAGGTAGGAACTCGACTTCATTCACTTCGGTTACGACAAACGGTTAGTAACAATGGTCCTTACGTTTAGTGTGGCTCAAAGCTAGATACGTGAATCTATACCTCGTGAACGAGCAAGTGAAGAAATTCACAGAAGTTCACTGAACCATTATACCCATATGCACAAATACAAACCTCAAGTTAGTTGTTTAAAATTAGATCACAAAGTTAATTTTCCCTTTTAAATATTTTAGTACCTGTTTGTCATCGTGAAACCCAGCGTTCATATATTCGTGATCCTCAAACTAATTGTATTTCATCAAGAAAACTATCAATCCGTAAGTGTTCTGGTTCTTGTGATTCAACTATCATAAAATTCCAACAACAACAACAGGAATTATTCAGTAGTGAGAATGATATTTCAAATGATTATGAATCCTTAAAATATAAATGGAAAGCAGTTCATAAACGATCAACTAATTCTGGACGTGTTTGGTTACCACAGAATTTAGTAAATAAACAATCACATATGATAAAAATGAAAGAGTCAAACTCTCCTTACTTAGTACATCTTAATTCTTATAAGACTACTCCATCAATGACAAAACAACACTGTTGTCAAGCTACAAAAATCAAATTACGTCCAATATTATTTAATTGTCCTAATGGTGCTGTTTATGAACGAACAATAAAATTAGCAAGAAAATGTACTTGTGTTCAATGTGATTGAATAGTAAATGGAGAATAATTATTGTACAACAATAAATTCAAATTAATCAAAACATTATGACCGTTTCTTACAAATGGTCACCGTCTAAATATATATTTCAAAAGCAAAGAAACAAATGCATTTGTTATTATTTTTTGCTATATAATAAACTACCTCAATATATTTGTGCTTACATACAAAATGTTGTTAGTAATGATGTTCTGTTTAAGATGATAAACCAAATGAGTAAGATATGAATTATTGTTAATACTTATTAATTGACCTTGATGTAGATAATCAGTTAATAATCTATTATTTTACAATCTCTGTCTCTTCATTATAAATGAACAATCTATCTCTAATTTTATTCTTTTTAAAACACTATTATTACTACTAACTACGTACTTATAATAATGTATTGACATAATAATCATATTTAGTTGATACGATCAAACTTATTGGAATTATCGGTCAGTTATTTAATCTAATCACGTATCGGCAATATATCAGACCATTCAATCTATAATGTTTATGTTCTATTTTAACATTAACGAAGACGATCACATCAATCATTGATTTCACACGCACACAGACACAAGTTTATACATTTTCAAAATCCTACCATTGACTTTTTTTAGTCAATTAAACACGGAACGCTGATTTTTATACGTTTTCATATTTTTAAAATACACAATTCATATAAAGTACTTTCACATCACTACATAATAAGTATTTATAGTTCGAAATAACACTCAGAAATATAATACTTCAACTAATAATAATTCTGATGATAATAGTATATTCACATATAGAATATAAACATTACACTTGATTATATTCCCGGTCTTTATTAATAAGACACTATTACCAACTAATTACATACTTGTAAATCTTAAATAACATTTTTCCCAATAATCCATTCAATGTCCTCTTATATCACTGGTGTTATTTTACCTTCATATTATCAATTAATAATTACAATTATATTAATATTGTCTGTTAAAATGAATAGCGTATTAAGGGAAACTTGTATTTTGAATAGTGAGTGTTTCCTTTTGTATAATAAAATTCCTATTTAAGCACAATTTTTCGAACTGTTCAAATAGATATTCACTGGTTCATATGGTGCAGACTTATTTAGTAGTAACATTGTTTAGAAAGTCTTAAATGTATCCACTGGTAAACTTCATATGTTTCAAGTGATTTCATAAAAACATTCTTCTGAATTCATCAAACCTTAATAAATGAAACCGTATGATCAAATCTAAAATTGCAGAAAATTAAACAAGTGAAAATCCCACTCCGAGTGACAAAACGTCACAATCCCAAGTGCAAAAAACCGACACTAACTGCTTAGTTTAATCAAAATGGTTGAAGTGGAGTGCACATACCTTCGATGTTGCAGTTATCATAACATGATTTGCAGCTTGGTAAGAACACTGAGTGTCTTCGGTTTACATTCTAGACTACACATCTTTAATTGTTTTAAAACCTCGGAAATCACGTAAGTTTGCTAGTAAAGACGCGAAAACCGGATATATTTCCAACTTTCTAGCAGAGAACAATATATATGTGGCCAGCTTCACAATCGCGGCTTGGAAAGCTCGATGACGATACCTCAAACATTTACCATGATTCTGAGTGTCCGATTATTAATCAACAGGTTGCAGTCTTAACACATCGGTCATTGGATGTGTTATCTATAAATACTCAACGTCTTATAAACGTACCTGTACTTGGTACATTTCGAGTTTTGGCATATAGTGGAGTGAAAATATAATGATAACGCTGTAATGATCCAAGCACGTCACTTATTTTCCTAACAAATCGTCTTGCCACTCCACAGCAAGCTTATTATGAGTACAGACAAATGCTGAAAAAATAAAGACCATCTTGTTTAGTTGGTTACCAGGAAACAAGCTACCCCTTGCTTAGCATACAGCTTCTAGTTTGTCAGTGCATCCCGTTATAAATCTATAATAATTAGATCTAATTGGTCTATTACATCTACCAAACCCGAATGATGAAGCATTTAACGGTACATATAGCCACGATCGAATGGATCCAATCAAAATACTCACTAATGGGCTGATCACTCATCTCTAGTTTCATCGTCAGGATTGACTAGTTACTTTTATCGTTATTTTAAACCAGTTGATTTTCAAAGTCGATAAAGTTGCAAACTACCCATGAAGATCAATTTCGTTGATCAACCAGTCAGTAAATTAAACATTTTCCCATACTGTGTTTCCAACTCAAAAGGGATTATAGTAAGTTTTGTAGTCACGACAAATTTATCGCTCATGTTCGGAAAATTGAAGCCGGAATGACTAATTATTAATCACTTATCTATTAGACAAGGAGTAATTATATTATGTCACTTAGAAGAAAGTCAAGATGACACCTAAAACATTTTATCACCCCCTTAACACTATCACCAGTTCAAACAATCGTTAAGCACTAAATGGCATAATCTGTAGTACTCTCCACTTTGCACTGATCGCTGTATATAAATGCCATACCATAAAATTGAAGATTAAAAATAGCGTAGTCAACAATTGTAGAAAGACAGATAGTCGTGGCTTAATGAAGATAGATGTCGACAAATTATTAGCGTTATCATTTGTTTTATGATCCTAATTTGAGAAAACCGGTTATCAAAACAATCAGTATCAATGAGTCAATTAGCAACAACACTTAGATATTTTACTTTAAATATTTAACCATTAATTTTGACCATCACAGGGATTCTGGTCAGACAACCTAATGTTCTATTGACAGTTATTAGTTTTAGCTTAGTCATACGGAAACACTTTGAAAGAAGCAGGATAATCAGCCATAGTTACAGGATTTTTTTGATCTCCGTTGCATCAGAGTCTCTATAACTACTTTTTTACGATAACATGCTTACGTTCACATAATGTACGACACGCTTAACTATAACGAGGAAATCAATGTCTTGGACATTTTGGAAGATCTACTTTGCCTTTTCCAGTATTGTTACAAACATTTAATCGGAGATTTGATATTTGCGATGAATCTGACAGATAACGTAATAACATTATTGATACTAAACATATGACAAAAGTTTCGTTCATGAATGATGTTACAATCAAATGCCAACAGCACCTTTTGAATATACCACTTGAAGATGTGAATAATTATTCTGACATATTCAGAAATAATGGGCAATGGCTACGCACATATGTGGAAAAAAACAATTACCGGAAATTTCTATTGGTAGCAAATGCGCATATGGGAGAAATACATCTACACGTACAGAAATGAAACAGAAAAAATATCCATCAAATCAAGAACACATGTATAACAATACCAAGTAATCATAGAACTGAGAACAAGTGTGAAAATTCGAAGGTAAGAACACTAATTATAATTAATTATGAAGTTAAGGGATATTATGACCAAACACATTAGTGAGCATCCGTAAGTGCAACAACTCCGGGTAATTGTTTACCTGAAACAGAAAAACAAGAACATATTTATAATAAGGAAGACAAAACATTTAACGTATACCGTGAGTTCAGCCCCCGGTGGAATCGAAGATATGCACTGCTAAGGAGTCCCATACTGGGACGAAACGGATATCTAATGCATCTTGATTTACGACTTTTTGAAGTCAGTTATGTGGTGTGAAATTACAGTTGCTTTGATGAAAACAAACACATCTAACTAAGTGAATGGTAAAAAAAATGAATATTTGTTTCCAATAAAATTATATTCAGTATATGCAGTATTAAATCTATTAATATATTACTGTGGTCATTACTGCTATGATTATAATAACCATGCAACACATTGTGTGCTAAATCCCCCAGGATTCAACATTGCTGATACCAACTTATTATAAGTTTTTCGAGACATTAATACAGGACTTGTCAACTGTACCAATGACATAAAAAGCCAGAATCAACGTCAAAGCCATTATTTTCAGTGCGCAAAACTGACTGCTTATAAGCCTGACTTATACCGGCTACTGTATTCACAACAATAATAATACTCCTGGTGTTAAGGCACGTGACATTACCCGAATGCCAAAACAGAATGGGGCTTAAACATAGGAACTACTGGTTGAAATTCAGAATCTTTAAGCACTAAACCACCTCTCACAACGATAACATAATATTTAAGGATTCATGGTTGTGAAGTCTGTATCTTAAGTTAATGAAAACGTTCCGCTTAAACATTCTTCTCTGTGAAACTGCATTATTTGAATACATAAATTTTTGAATTAAAACAATTTAAGTATAACTTGTACTCCATAGCTGCAGTATATATAATACAACCAAATTTATTTTTAAGGCAGTCTATCTGCTACGCAGGAAAAGTACTAGCTGGTAGATTGGGCTCCAGATTAGAGAAATCAATGTCAAATACAACATAAACGTGCCGATCACACCGTCATACAGAAATTAAATGCAAGTAATTGGACTGAAGCCATTCCTACCTTCGAGAAGTTCAAGACTAGCACCACCACCAGTACTGACATGACTAACTTTATCTTCTGTGTCCCATTTGGCGCAGCATGTTGCGGTGTCACCACCACCTACAGAAATATTGGAGAAAATATTAACACAGATTTTTAAACAGAAACAAATGAAAATAAGGACTCCATATGCAAAAGGATAAGTTTTTTTTCAAATTTACTGGATATTAAAACATAACTTTGTAATACTGCCTGCAATCTTGATTATGGTTTATACCTTACTACTTTGGAAATGAAAATAACTCATTAAAAGCAGTGTATTAGTTCAACGAGGATAATGGAATTGGATAAATACAACTTACCAATAATAGTTGTAGCACCATTCTTAGTAGCTTTGACCACTTCATCCATTGCTGCTTTCGTTCCTCTTGCAAACTTGTCCATTTCGAAAACGCCCATCGGCCCGTTCCAAACAATAGTTTTGGCACGACTAATCACCTTACTGAATTCTTCAATTGTTTCCGGACCAATATCTAATCCCTTATGAAATTAATAAAAATCCAGTGCAATGGAACTAGCGGTTAGATGTTATCCAAAGGTGTTCAACATTAGATAATATAGGAAGCGTATTCTTAACGTAAACATATGAATCTTGATTTAGTGATTTACTGGATTTTTATGGGTAAAGCACGCCGTACAACAAAACAAATACTATGCACCTAGTGAAAACATTTAATCTATTGTAACAGATTTCACTAATGAGGATTCCTTTACCGACAACTTTATTTTTGTATACTGTGAGTTTTTATGCATACAGTGCACTCCAACACATGAAAAAGGAAGGATCATCTTTATATACTTAAAAATGTCTTGATGTAAAAGAGTGAATATAGTAATTGCCGGAGTGAATAGCTCGGAGTTTCCTTTGCGAACCCTTAGTGCCATTAGTTATCCATACTTCTTTCCAAAACTAAAGATATACTTGTTTAGCGCTTTTTCATTCACAATATTTCTCTAAATGATGCTTATTTTATTTATTTAAACACAAGGATTGCTACAAAGGGGTGCCAAAATTTATGTGCGCCACATAAAGTGGTTATCATTCAATTTGTGTGGGCTGGAATTCTGTCCGGATTTGGTTTTCCCAGGAGGCCACTTTACGAGCTCGACATTGATGTCTAATCCACAAGGCAGTGGAGCAACGTTAGGAGATGTTGTCCCGTGGTAACGCGTGACTAACAATAGGTTTATACGTCATTTATTCCCTCAGTATACTGGAGATAATATGTCCCATGAGTTTGTAATCATGGTTTCCTAGCTACTCCCCTAGGTGGATTTTCAGTATCCATCAACTCGACAAAAGCGCCGAACATTTGCTCCCTGTTCATTCAATTCCGTAAACAAAAGCCTCGCCGTGAAAATGCAGTTAGCACTTCCTTGGAAGCGGCTATATACGGGTGGCCATGAGAAGGATAGCGGACTCTTCCCATCCTCGACCGTCCAGAGTATTTGGAGGCTATTGTAAAGAAAAGTTACTTTACTACTAAGTAAATTTTCTTCTGATTGAATTGGAAGGCTAGATGTCTATGTTTAAAGTTGATACACAAAATAATAAAAAATTACTAACAAACACATTTGTTATTCACTTCTGTTATGAATAAAAGTTTAACTCACCATCCAACCATCGGCAATTCCAGATTGTATAGTTCTTACTTCAGTGTTCGCATCGTCAGCAAATTTATCAGCAGTTACAAAGTCAACAGGTAAGTGAATTGCAACATTTTTAGCCTTTGCAGTTTCCATTACTTTGTGAACGATTTCTGCACCCGGTGCATCAAATAAACTATTTCCTATCTGAAAATAAGAAAAGACAAATAAACATTTTACTTACGTACATTCTAGAGGTGAGACGTGAGCATTGAGTGCATAGCATATTCAAGATTTGAAAAATTTCATAATCGATGTGACTAAAACACTATTTGAATTTACTATGATGAAATAGCTGAACAATATTATGATACACAGAATACTAGATAAATATGATAAATCAGTTAGTAAGTTCGTAAGCTTAGATTGACTGAAGCTGTTAAAATACCTGTAATGCAAGTTCAGCTACCCCTACTACAGAACCATTTTATTGGTATAAAAGTACGAAAAATAATCACGTTAATTAAAGCAACCTGGAAAATATGTCAGTCCACTACGTTCCCAGTTAGTTGATTTATGAACCAATAATACTAACCAATCTCACAGACTAAGGTGAATGGATAAACGTCAAATAATTCACCTATAATCTTCACTGAGAATCTAACAGCGGCTATACCAATATATGACGTTGATCTTAGAAGCCATTTACCATTAGTCTGAACCATATATGAAGACACAACTTCCATATTAGCATGCGCGGTATGGTCGTAACCGATGATTGCTGACTTTAAGGACAAAACTCAAAACTAAACACAGTGGCACACCTGTACTCTGTTTTTCTTTACCTCATCAACGTAAAAATACTGACTGTATAAACCTTTTTTCTTCAAACATTAAGAACGGTTTTCATCATTAACTTTCCACAATTTTCTTTCTTAGCCATTACACTTTACTGTGCTGAAGTGTAAGGACTCAAAGTGATACATAATTTAACAAAGATGTATGTTGAGTAGACTTATCTGTTCAAAATGAAATCCGCAAATACATAGAAAGAGTTCGTCACTTTAAAATCACACGAGAAACCAATAAATCCCATCCATGCCAGGGAAGTACTATTCACTGCCTTCTCGTGGCATTACTGTTGTTTACGAAAATGAGAGGACGAAAAGCGAATATCCGGAGCTTTAACCAGATCCCAAACCAATGGTGCACATGTGCTCTAGTATCCTGACGGAACAAATGGCGTTGGAAGCAATCTTGGTCACCGGCTACCATGGGACTGCACCTCCTCACGATGCCCCACTGCTTTGTGGGCTAGACTTTTAGGTCAAAGGCTCGAGGTGTGACCCCCTAAGAAAACCACCTGCTTCGGTCTGGGCACCCGGGAAGTATTACAGCCCACGTACAAATATAATGATAATGATGGTATTTACTGAAAACTCTATTCTCGCTTCGATTTACAGTCAACCAATTCACATTATTATTATTATTTACTACGTCATTTATTCACTCTCTTTTATTCCCACGTTATGTATTCCTTATTTTTCGACTTATACAGCAGCTCGCCTGTGGTGGAAACTTGGTTCTATCTAAACGTTTTCAAGTCACCGCCTGGTTGAAAATTGTATGCTACCACCTAATACGAATACTGGAGCAGGTTTCCTGAAACCACGTGCACCATTCAAACTGGCTGCCTTCAACGTTCGCACACTTATGCAGTTGGACAACAGATAGGGTTGGCTATGTCTTTGGAAAGTCTTAATATCGATATTTGCTGTCTATCCGAGACCCGTATTCAAGACTCTGGTGAAGTACTACAAATTCGCTCTCCATCTGTCGCTTCGAAAAGCTTGTTTTACGTGCGCTTATCCGGGGACCCTGTGGCATCTTCGTCTGGTCTTGCTGGTGTTGGTGTCGCACTAAGCGCCAGAGCAGAGGCAGCACTAATCGATTGGATCCCCATTAACAGTCGGTTATTTGCTGTTAGATTATAAAGTTCCATCAAAGTGAGAAGAAATTGGCGTGAGAAACGATGTCTTTCCGTCATCTCCACCTATGCCCCGACAGATTGCAGCCCGGATGCAATCAAGGATGAATTCTACCACCAGTCAACTGTTCGACAGATATTGTAGTACTAGCCGGAGACTTGAATGCTCAGGTCGGGCGTCTATGCACAGAAGAGAGTCGTTTAGGTGGCCGATGGGGACTTGTTGGTCGCAGGACAGATAACGGGGACCGTCTACTGCAATTATGCATAGGCCACAACCTGTTTCTGGCTAGCACTAACTTTCGGCACAGTCATCGCCGATGTGCCACCTGGCGTCCTCCCTCTGCATCTCAAGCCTGGACTCAGATTGATCACATCGCGATCAGCTACCACTGGCGTGGTTGTGTACAAGACTGCCGCTACTTCTGGAGTACCTATCTAGACTCTGATCATGCATTGGTCTGCGCCTATCTTACCTTACTTTTCAGTCAGTCAGTCAGTAACAACGTAGAACTTCGTACGTACGTACATCAGTTCGAGTTGCCACACCACATTAGCACAGAGATGCAGTGTCGATTCAAATCCCGTAGTGGTAGAGGTAATAAGAGTATAAGCAGTAATCGGGAAGATTAGGGTTTGGAGATGTTATTTAAAGAGTATAATCCAGTGAAATAAATTTGGAAAGAGGAAAAAAGGGACATGAAGAATTCAGAAGATTAGAATTTGGGAGAACACAGAGAGTGGATGCACCTGCGCCATTGCAAACGATTTTGAGCCATGTCATTCAGGGTCTCTAACCATCGGTTGCTATCATCTCGCGGTCCCCAACCAGGTAGTCTACACCTACCAACATGACTCAGTTCACTTGTCAGTGACTTCATGGACTTGTGCCATGTTTTGGTTTGGCCGCCCCTAGCTTTCTTCCAACCTACTCCTATACCACTGAACATAGCACGTCGAGGCAGTCGGTCGTTGGGCATACGTAACACGTGTCCCAGCCATCTCAACTGATGAAGTTTCACTACTTCATCAATTGATTTGCCATCCTTACCTAGTACCCGTTTCCTAACAACTGTTACTTACTCGATGGTCCCATGATATACGAGCAATGTTTCGAAGACACCTATGATCAAATACTAGTAACCTACGATATCCTCTACTCTTACCGGCCATGTTTCACTGCCATAAAGTAGGACGGAACGAACTGCTGCGCAGTAAACACGTCCTTTGGTTGATAGACGGATATCTCGCCTACGCCATAAATGACGCAAGTTGGCAAAAGCTAGTCGAGCCTTCTGTATCCGTGCTGAGATTTCGTCACACACTAAACCACAAGGGCTGATGAGACTTCCAAGATAAGTGAAGCGGTCGACACACTCAACTACTTCACTCCCTATCACTAGTTCGGGTGTCGATGTAACCCAATCCTGAAGCAACATTTTGCATTTCGAGGGAGAGAATCGCATCCCGAACATGCTTGCATTGTTGCTTAGAGTGGTCAGAAGACTCTGCATTTTGTCAGCGTCTTCACCAAATAAAACTATGTCATCAGCATATTCTAAGTCAACAAGTGAACCTCCCGGTAGAAGTTCAACCCCTGGAAATTTAGATGAGGAGAGTGTTATCTCTAAAAGTACGTCGACCACAAAGTTGAACAAGAATGGGGAGAGTGGACAGCCCTGACGAACACCACTTGAGGTAATCAATTCTGATGACAGTTCGCCATAAGCTCTCACTCTACCAGTTGTGTTCGAGTAGAGAGCCTTTATAAGGTTAATGTACTTCTTTGGTACTCCTTTCAGTGACAAACACTGCCATAGAACCTCACGATCAACAGAGTCGAATGCCGCCTTAAGGTCGAGAAATACTACCATTGTGGGGCGTCTGAATGTGTGTCTGTGTTCTAGAACCTGACGTAGTGTGAATATCTGATCTATACAACCACGTCCAGGTCGAAAACCGGCCTGGTTTTCTCTAGTCTGCTCTTCACGAGCTTTGATTAGGCGTCGAAGTATTATTGAAGCTAATATTTTAGACACTATATTAGTCAAACTGATTCCTCTGTGATTGTCACAAGAGGACTTTTGTCCTTTCTTAAAAACTGGCACAATCAGTGATTGAGACCAGTCAGATGGGATTACGTCCAGTTCCCAAATTCTACCTAAGACCTCAGTTAATCTCATTGCTAATACTGGACCACCATCCTTAAAAATCTCAGGAGTAAACCTGTCAGGGCCTGCTGCTCTCCCTCGTTTCCTATGGCTTTTTCAACTTCGTAAAGGGACGGAGGACCTACATTAACTTGCCATTCAGGTTGACTGGAGATCGTGGGAAACCGAAGTGTGGCTGAAGGCCAGTTGAACTGATCCCTAAAGTGTTCTGCCCATCGATCCAATCTCCTGGATTGAGAATGAATAATATGTCCATCTTTCTCTGAGATTGTTTCGCTAACGGTCGGTTTCCTTAACGAGTCTGAACAATTGTCTGCTATTACCTATTGCCGCTGCCTTTTCCATCTCTCTTGCTTTCGCTACCCACCACTGTTCGCGATCATTGCGTAGACTTCTTGTCAGCTTGCGCTTAAGCTGACTCCGCTCTTCATTATGTTCAGAGCCAGGTGGAATGAGTTTCCGAGCATCTATCAGTGCGATAGATGCTGCTGAGATCCAGTGTTGCTCCCTAACCTTCTGGTTTACCTTACTAGCAGATATCACTGCTGTTTCCACAGCTTTTCGGATATCATTCCATGCTGCATCGGGGTGGGCATCACATACATGGCTGCCTAACTGTTTTCCTAGTTGTTCCTGAAATATACTCTTAGCTTGACTATCATTAAGTAGGGCCCTAAGAGGTTTCCTTGCAGCGTCTTTCCTACGTCCAGTAAGACGCAAGCAAATACGCGCTCGCACTAGAGCATGATCTGAATCTAGGCATGTGCTCCAGAATGAGCGACAGTCTTCTATCGAGCCCCTCCATCGGTGGCTGATAGCGATGTGATCTATTTGGGTCCAACGTTGGGACGAATTAGGGGGTCGCCATGTTAAAAGATGTTTTTCCTTATGCTTAAAGTTAGTATTTGCAAGGAACAGGCGGTTATCTGAGCATAGCTGCAACAGACGGTCGCCATTATCTGTTCTTTGAGCCACGACACCATAAGATCCACCTAGGTGTCTTTCCTTATCGCTTAGTTTACCTACTTGAGCATTAAAGTCACCGGCCACTATTACTACATCCGAGCGCCTAGCTTTTCGGAGAAGGTCCGAAAGCTTTCTGTAAAACTCATCTTTTACATCATCTGAGCTGCAGTCAGTGGGAGAATAGGCAGAGACGACGAAGAGGCAACGACGAGTGTCCCTATCTTTCCGGATTCTTACTGTTCCGTTCAGTCGGACAGCGCACAAACGACTGTCTACTGGGATCCACTCTAAGAGAGCTAGTTCTGCCCTAGGACTCAATGCTATACCTACGCCGGCGAGGCCACGGGAAGCAGAATCAGGGCTTCCAGATACACGAAGCGTAAATCGAGTCGGTTCTTTATTTTGGCATGGTGAGGTCAAATGAATGACGCTACTTGGATCCTGTATGCGCGTTTCGGAGACGCAGCACACATCGATGGCGCGAGATTCTAAAGTTTTAGCTAAGGAAGCCTGCTGTCCTATTTGGCAAAGTGTTCGTACGTTAAAAGCTCCTACGTGTAGTTTAGAGCGTGGTTTCAGGAGACCAGGAATGGCGTTCCACGTACTCGAATCGTTTGCCCTAGCGGTGCGAGGTGATAAAGAGACGTGAGGAGGGTTAGTCGGGGAGATAAGAGAGGTATTAGGAGGTGTAGGAAGGATTTGAATGTGACCACCTTGGTCTCTTGTGCTGTTACGGGTATGAGGGCTGATGTCACTTCCCGGCTGCCCACACCGTGGAAGACTTACTTTTCAGTGGCCAACGAAGTGACCGTCACCAAAGGGTTGATGTTAGCAAGTTGGTTGCAACTTCTGTTGCTAGTAAGTATCAAACAGAGCTAGCTTCTAGGCTAGCTACCATTCCACCGAAATGTATAGATGAGCATTGGTTGCAATTGCATGACACCATCAAAATGGCGAGTAAATTCAGTTGTGGGTTAGCAAAACGTCCCGCTTACAAGCACTGGGTTTCTTCAGGCTCCGTACAACTCATCGAAGCCTGTCGGTCTACTCCGGGTAACCGTGAGTTTGACCACAAACGACGACTGTTACGTAATGAAATCGAGCAAAGCTTGTGTAAGGACCGAGAAGCCTGGTTGGTCGGCGCGTGCTAATGAGCTGGAGGCAGAAGCTGCATCTGGTAACTACCGGAAGCTATTCCAACCCACCCGAGCCACTGGCAGCAAGAAGTCTGGTGTGATCGAAACAATCTACGAGGATGATGGGATGCCAATCACTAACATCCATCGACGTCTTGGACGATGGGCAGTCCAACTGGCCTGTTGCTCCGGCAACATCGGTCAGACTGTCCTGCCATCCATGGCCATTGACGACTGATCCACCAAATGAGGCGGAAGTCCGCAAGGAACTCCAATTCTTGAAGCGCTACAAATCACCTGGCTCAGATGACTTACCTCCGCCTCCTTTTAAAGATGGTGGTGACTTTCTGACTAAGGAATTGACGACGTTGTTTACAAAGGTTTGGGAACTAGAGAGTGTACCAACGTCATGGAATGAGTCGATAGTTGTCCCTATCTTTAAAAGGGTTCACGTCGTTCCTGTAACAACTATCGGGGGATAAGTCTACTTCCGATCGCGTCCAAGCTATTGGCTTCCCTCATACTTCGTAGGTTGTTCAAAACCCGAGAAAGATTGATTCGCGAGGAGCAGGCTGGGTTTCGTTATGGTCGAGGATGTATTGATCATATCTTTACCCTACGCCAAATGTTAGAACACCGCCATACTTATCAAAGGCCAACAATCGTAGTGTTTCTTGACATCAGGGCTGCCTTCGAATCGTTGGATGGGACTGTTCTCTGGGATTGTCTAGTGTAGAACGGTGTGCCTGAGAAGTTTACTAACATCCTAAAGGCCGTTTATACAAACACCTCAGGCAGGGTGAGGGCATACAACCATCTTTCTCCATTGTTCCATACGAGCAGTGGGGTTAAGCACGGTTGCCCAATCTCACCATTTCTCTTTAACTTTGCCATCGATGACATTCTGGAAACAGCTCTGATGGATATATGCATATGATATTGTCTTACTGCGCGATAATTCCCAAGACATGCAATTCGCGCATAATCAGTTGGCAATCAGTGTCCGTAGGTACGGTATGTGCTTCGCACCTTCGAAGTGCAAAGTACTTCTAAAAGACTGACAGGATCCTAATCCTGTACTCACCCTGGATGGTGAGCAGATAGAAGTAGTCGAGAAGTTCGTGTATCTGGATAGCTGCATAAGTGCTGGTGGGGAGTGTGAGTGATGAGATTAATGCACGAATAGTGAAAGCCAGAGCGGCTTATGCCAATCTGGGCCACCTTTGACGCCTTTGTGATGTTAGTCTGGTTGTAAAAGGTCGGATCTACAACGCGTCGGTGAGAGCAGTTTTGCTCTATGCTTGTGAAATCTGGCCTCTCCGAGTTGAGGATATTAGACGACTCTCTGTGTTTGATCATCGTTGTCTCCGAAGGATTGCTGACATCCGGTGGCAACACCATGTCAGTAATGCAGAGGTTCGGCATCGTGTGTTCGGGCACAGAGATGATAATGCAATTGGTGTCACCATCTTGAAACACCGACTTCGGTGGCTTGGATATGTTCTACGAATGTCGTCCCAGAGAATTCCACGTCGTGCATTATTTGCCGACTCTGGGACTGGTTGGAGAAAGCGGAGAGGTGGTCAGTGTATGACATGGTGTCGTGGTATGAAAGAAGGCTGCAAAGGACTGGCTTGTGTTGGTCCTTCACGACTCCCTGGCTGGGGTCCGAGAGATGGTGCTACACAGTGGCTAGAGACGTTATCAGATATGGCTCAGAACAGAAGTCAGTGGTTGCTACTTCCTTAACTAAAAGATTGCTTCTGACTGTACCTTTCCGTTCCCCCATTATTACTATTATTATTACACTACCTTACATCAATCTATTCGTTATTGTTCTCTTTTTCTTTCACGCTCCTTACCTTTTTTCCTTGTCTTTAAATTCTCATTGTTTTGTGTGGCGCATATAAATTTGGTGCCCTCTTGTACCAATATTTACGTGTTCAAATAAATAAATAAATAAATAACAACATAATAATCTCGGTTGATTACAATAGAGTTAGAGCCGACTAATGCAAACTAAAATCATACAGTTAAATTTAACTAGGCAATAAACACTAACGTCTGCACAGATGGAGGGGGAATTTGTTTGAAGAACGGGATAACTGAATCGACGAAATAAGACTACACAACTAAAATTTTACTTAAGGATTAGTCAGTCACCAGACAAATTATAGTTCTTCAAGCTTAGCTGTTAATTTGAAGTTACATATAAGTGTACTGAGACATGATGGGTTTAAGTACGTCTCCATCTGTTGTTTTGTCTTCTCTTGCATCGAGCCCTATTTTGTTCGTTTGCGGGTCACTGTGTAGAAGTTAATAGAAGGAAAATTCGATAGAGCCTACAGATGATACTGAAAAAGAGTATCGGTAGAAAGAGGCAGTTTTCTTATAAACAAAACGTTAAAGTCGTAGCCCTTATGAGAAACCACTAAGACATAGCGCGCCCGTCAAGACTGCTTTATTTACTTCTTACAACTTTTACTGTGAAGATAGAAAAGTGGAAAATTTACTCTAGGTACTGTTACTAATGCGAATATATAATACAAACATCTAGATACAAATACAAAAAAATACGGTGACCTACATGTATGTTGTGTATTTGCTTAAGAAATGTATATGCCATCCCACCACCGATGATCAATTCATTAACTTTGTCAAGCATATTATTGATCAACTGGATCTTGTCGCTAACCTTGGCACTAGACAAAAGAAAGGAATTACTTTAACTATATATAACAGCTTAAATTGGTTTGAAACCTGAAAAATATACTAATATTTTGGACATATATGCAGCAAATCAACAAAATCCTTACCCTCCCAAAATAGCTAGGAAAGGACGTTCTGGATTTTCCAAAGCTCTGGCGAAATATGTCAGTTCTTTATTCATGAGAAATCCACAGGCTTTTTGTGGCAGTTGGCAGCCGACCATAGAACTATAAAGCAAAATGACGAAGAAATGGTTGACTTACGTAAAACCAGGATAAACTATACAAAAAACTCATTACCCAAAGAATGTGAAGCTGTGGCTGAGTGGTTAGGGCCATCGACTTCTGGTCATAAGAACGCAGGTGTGAATCTCACCTACTCCGGTTTGGGGAACAAGCTAGTATCACTGGTTATCGCACAATGTGGCTCAAAGTAGACGAATCTATACCTGTTAAGTAATTTAGTAACCTAACATTAAAATGATCCAATATTGAATTATAACGAAAACAGTGGAAAATGTAGAATGATATTGTCTTGAATGATTATATTCAGAACCAGAAACCTTATTATGTGCTTAATTTTTAGTTGGAAAGGTGATAGTCGGTCCGTCAGAACCTGTATGCATGTACATCGGTTCAAGTTGCTATGCCCCATCAACACATCGAGTTGTCAGGCCAAATTCCAGAATAGTAGAGGCAGTAAAAGTTTCAGTAATAATAGGAAAGATTAGGCATCAAAGATACAACTCGAAAAGAAATTATAAACTAATAAAATGAAAACAAAATAGTTGTGAGGAATTTAGAACTTCAGGGAAGACAAAGAACAGGTTCACCTGCGCAATTACAAACGATCTTAAGCCATATCATTCAAAGTTCATTGGTTACGATAATCACGCGGCCCCTAACCAGATAATCTGCGCCTAACAACATGGCTAAGTACAACTGTCACAGACTTCGTGGACTGATGACATGTTTTGGTTTGGCCTTCCTTGGTGTTCATACAAACTTACTCTCACGCCAACGGTTATATTATAGTGAAGATTAAATTACGGGTAACTTCTGCGAACTATTAATGGACTAATATATATATGCCTATTGTATAACTGTTCAGTAACTAGGTTATGTATATCTATATTCCTATTATTAGAAACTTCATTTATTTCTACTTCTTATTTATTTAAACATATAAATATTGGTACATTTTGACCTGTAGATTAATATTATATGATTTACTGTTCTAGAATTATACTTAGTTTATTGATTACAGTCTCCCACATTCATAGCCACTTTTTGGCTTAATCTTGTATAAATGTTATTTCCTATTTTATGGTGTGATGTCCGTCTGACTAGTATTGTTAGAGGGACATAAACTAGATTAAAGCATGCTCAATGCATGATTGCTTTGGCGCATGCTGATTGGCTAATTCTCATCCAATCAGCACCAGTCGATAGTTGGAGAATATAAATAAAGCAAGAACAAATATTGGTGCAGAATAGTATGAATTCATATTATTTCGAGGTTTCTCGTCAGCTGCTTACAAACCAAAAAATGTGATAGAATTTTTACATTGAGATAGAGTGAAAACAAATGACATAGATGAGTGTAAATAACTGGGTTACAATAATAACTATATATATATGCTAGAACAGGTCAGAGGTCAAAAGGAATTAATTCGGGTTGGGTGGTGTAATAATGGAATTGAATAATCATAAGATAGGTTACGTAATAATAATTAAATAGAATTTGAAAAGTTAAGATAATTTAGGAGGATCAGGTGGTGGAAATGCGTAAATAATAATGTGGTTTAAGAATTATGTAATAGGGGAGGAATATAAATATTTTAAAATAAATAAATTTTAATATAATAATAATAATAAAGGGTTACCAGGGTAGTGATAAGTTAATTAAAGTCTCTTTTTGAATGCATAAGTCAGGTTTAAGTTTTTTGATCATAATAGCTTCAGCAAAACGGAGGGTGGTCGTACTTCTTTGTCGATTGATAACTTTGAAAGCACGAGGAATGTCGATGGTGTGCCCGGTGTCAAGCAAATGTCGAGCTATTGCACTGTTGAAAGCCCTGGTCTCACGCAGCCTCAAGTTTTTTTGGAACATGCTCAGAAATGCGGACATGCACTCTTCTCTCAGTTCTTCCAATGTATGTGCTTTGGCACGTACATGTAAATTGGTAGATGCAGTTGGAGCTACTAAGAAAAGAGGGCTTGTCGATTTTGGTTTGTTGAAGTGAGCAGTTCGTTTGACATACTGTCATAAGTTTTGCTGCTGGGTAGGTGACTTTCAACGCAGAGTTTATTCTGTGATTGATTATTCCAGCGATTTCATCACCTTTGAAACGTAAGTGTAAAAAGCAGGTTTTTCTTTCTACTCCATCGTATTTTGTATGAGGATTGCTTTTTGCATATTTCTGGATAAATTTCAATGGGTATTCATTATCGCGTAGAACATTAGTAATCAGATTAATTTCATCATCAAGGTATTCTTTTGAACAGATTTTTTGATGTTGGGATCCGACGAACATCTGATGGTAAATTACATAGACATATTCACCATAAAAATACCTGGAGTGGTCTTTATCTCAATTACCACAGTTTCTGCCCAATGAGTTACAAAAAGGGTATTATACGAACCTTTTTTGACCGCGCTCAAAAAATCTGTTCAAAAGAATACCTTGATGATGAAATTAATCTGATTACTAATGTTCTACGCGATAATGAATACCCATTGAAATTTATCCAGAAATATGCAAAAAGCAATCCTCATACAAAATACGATGGAGTAGAAAGAAAAACCTGCTTTTTACACTTACGTTTCAAAGGTGATGAAATCGCTGGAATAATCAATCACAGAATAAACTCTGCGTTGAAAGTCACCTACCCAGCAGCAAAACTTATGACAGTATGTCAAACGAACTGCTCACTTCAACAAACCAAAATCGACAAGCCCTCTTTTCTTAGTAGCTCCAACTGCATCTACCAATTTACATGTACGTGCCAAAGCACATACATTGGAAGAACTGAGAGAAGAGTGCATGTCCGCATTTCTGAGCATGTTCCAAAAAACTTGAGGCTGCGTGAGACCAGGGCTTTCAACAGTGCAATAGCTCGACATTTGCTTGACACCGGGCACACCATCGACATTCCTCGTGCTTTCAAAGTTATCAATCGACAAAGAAGTACGACCACCCTCCGTTTTGCTGAAGCTATTATGATCAAAAAACTTAAACCTGACTTATGCATTCAAAAAGAGACTTTAATTAACTTATCACTACCCTGGTAACCCTTTATTATTATTATTATTTTTTTATTTATTTTAAAATATTTATATTCCTCCCCTATTACATAATTCTTAAACCACATTATTATTTACGCATTTCCACCACCTGATCCTCCTAAATTATCTTAACTTTTCATATTCTATTTAATTATTATTACGTAACCTATCTTATGATTATTCAATTCCATTATTACACCACCCAACCCGAATTAATTCCTTTTGACCTCTGACCTCTTCTAGCATATATATATAGTTCTTATTGTAATCCAGTGATTTACACTCATCTATGTCATTTGTTTTCACTTTATCTCAATGTAAAAATTCTATCACATTTTTTGGTTTGTAAGCAGCTGACGAGAAACCTCGAAATAATATGAATTCATACTATTCTGCACAAATATTTGTTCTTGCTTTATTTAAATTCATAAAGGGAACCAATTGCATGAAGTTGGAGAATACTCTGGAATCTTCTTATGTAAAAAACTATAAATATACTGACGTTTTCCCTATCGTGATTCTGGCTTGCATTTTGCTTCCATCTAACCTTGGTATTTGGAATATAATCTCTTTCCTGTTCAACCATGTTCTGATTTAGGGTCTTGTCGAGTGATGTAGTGTCCAAGAATACTAAGCAATAGGAATAGCTGGGTCATAACCGTAAAAAGAGATTATAACATGTATATAAGCCGAATATGTTTGAAATAAATGATTCGCATAGTGGAAGCTGGTATCTGTGTTCTGGACTCAACTGGACGGGCTAGGTGAACAAAGTACGCTATGCTGTTAATACAAGTCGAACGTCATTGGTTAGACACAGTGCTAAGATTGTATAGGTCGTATTTCGATTGGCGAATAGATCACGTGATAACTAGCCGAATTTAAAGTCACAACACCAACCACATCAGTTGGTGAACATTAATACCTTACCAATCGATTTCAAATCCTTACATGGTACTCTATCCACAACCCAGTCATGGCTTACTCCGTGGTCCTATGATCGAATACCAGTAACCTATGAATAACCTCTACTTTTAATGGCCAAGTTTCACCTTTAAGTCATAGACTAAGCTGAACTTTTTTTCTATATACTAATGTATGAGTTCCTTAAAATTATATTTGTAAAATAAAACAACAAACAATATGGTTCATAGGTGTTATTTCTTTCCATTTGTTTCTAATCATGATGTACTCTGTTGATGTGAGGTATAACAACTTATGGCGATGCACAGCTATTTCGCAGCCAGTGTTAGCGTATACTTGGGGAAGACTAAAAGTTTCTAGTGAACAATCGTAATATGCTGTTTGCCTTATTGTGATTATTGTTCTCATTCTATCTTGCTATTTAGAATACAACTACATTTCTCTCCAACTGTGTTCTGCTCTGGAGACATGTCCGGTGAAGTGGTGTCAGGAACACTAAGCAATAAGAGTAGCTGGGTCGTAATAAAAGTGCTCATAACACATATCTTCTTGATTTTGATTTATTTCCTTAAGCCAAATGGAATAAATGTTCTCCAACTGATAACAAGTGGGTTTATCACGCTGAAACTGAGTAATCTTTCTGACTGACTTGTAGGAGGCTGACGATATACAACTCAATTGAGCGTTGCGCATTCATCTATACAGTGTTGAACACGTTTAATAGGCTTTTTGGTCGTCCTATTCGTTGCATGTTTATAAAATCACTAGCTTCTCGAGCCCGAATAACTCTAAAGATGATCTCATTACTAAAAAGATTCATACAAAAAGATATGCAATCCTAACTCACGCATGAGCTCTATGTGCCGTCCCAAAGGCATCGTTGACGTAAACATCACCAAGTTTTGTCAGACTTTCACTGAAAGCCTTGATTTGATCAGCAGTGGCTTTTGTCTGTCAAAAAATAGAATATAGAGTTTATAATAACGAGTAATAGTGTTTATGGATTGTACACGAAATCCACTTGCAAGTCTTAAGTTAAGGATCATTAAAGGCAGAAAGCTAGTCTACTGAAGTATTACTTCACTACATTAAATCCGTAGATACTAGTTAACGTTAAACAAATATATGGTGCCCGGAAGTATTACTAATTGGAGTTATTCTCAAGAAGTAGACAATACGTCCATATGATCTGCTTAGAAAATTTACGAATCTTGTAGATATCCATAAAATAGCTGAATAATTCGACAGAATAGTATATTTACATCACATGAAATATGTAATATTAATCTGCATCTTAATTTTATCTTTCTATTTTGACAATACTAAGAGATGATATGACACGGAATAACGGTGAGTCTGTAATTTAAAGACATCTGAGCGTCGCATAGTTGACCCTGAGAACATCCACCTACTTACTAAATGAGCATTAAATTAGCATAAGGAATTAGGATTTACAACTAGACGCTAGGACTATAAGAGTAAGGATTTTTATTACGAATTGACATTAGCTATGGTGTCAGAATGCTGCCTAGAAATAAGGATGGATGAAAATCAAGCCCAAATCCATAATATACTAACGGGAATCTGATTGATTCGTCTATAAATTATAGACCCATTGAAATAGCTTTAGAACCAATATAGCGCTCCAATCATTGATAGTCCTAGAAAAAACTTTGGTGGCAGTACGAAAACAACCGATGCTCATACGGAACTCTCTTACAAAGAGAATCCTACCAGTTGGTTGTTTTGGTACTGAACATTTAGGAAATACAAAGATGGAAACGTTCCTAGCTGATTAGCCCTAGTTTGTGGCGGCGACTTGTGACACTCTGTAGTAATCCGAACACTATAAAAAAATGAAAGACAGGACTAACTTTTTCGCCGGTCGGTGAGACACCTTTTCCTTCTTCTTCAACGTGAAAGCGTAGATTTTCTAACAAAAAAACACTTCCAGGAGCAGGGTTAGCACACGCATTAACTACATCAGGTCCAACACAATCACTGAGGAAGGTAACTTCTTTTCCTAACAACTTCGACACTTCAGGGCACACAGGCTTTAGAGAATACTTATCGACTTTGTTCCCATCTGGCCGACCTAAATGGGACATTAGGACGACACTCTTAGCCCCCTTATCCAAAGCATATTTAATAGTTGGTATGGCAGCTGCTATTCTAAAATGGCACAAAGTAACTTTCATCTCCGACTATTACCTTTGAGTGTTAGTAACTTTCCCATCTTTCATAGGGACGTTGAAATCAACTCTATAAAGCACTCAACGTTAATCAGCTAAAATCATTCTTACCGAATAAGAACACGTTTCCCTTTAAGGTCAACATCTGAAATACTAAGCTTCGACAAACCCATCACGTAGACAAACTGAATATGTCAACGCGTCCTCCGAAAAATGTGTCCTACAAATGTAAGTAGAAAAACAAAATCTTCGTTTCTCAAATAAAAACATGCCCACGAATCCGACGTTGGATCATAGACACAAAATGGCATCGCTAGAAATTCACCAAGTTAATACCTAGAGTCAAACACTTGGACTGTCACCAACTGATTGTAAGCTGTAATAAGAAAAGGTCTATCCACCTATATTAATTCTTGCAGTTTGTAAAACTGTAGAGGCCCAATCTCGTTTTCAATGTATCAACAGAAGGTGCTGATATTACGTGTTCTGGTTGAGAATGCCAGTAATTCACTACTCGGTGAGAGAAACGAAACTCCAGACGTCGACGTTTTGATCTCGGTTTTTGGATTACCTTCGAATGTCCTTTCAAATTATCAGTCCTAGACGGAAGGACAAGATAAGACCCGTTGGTACCAAGGTCATCTTTTAGTTTACGGTAAGACAATATCAGGTCACCTCGTACTCTACGGTAAGATAACGGAAATATGTTAAGATGTTTCAGTCTGTCTTCATAAGATAGGCCAGATATACCTTATACCAGCTTAGTCCCTCGTCGTTAGACTCGTTCTAGCATATCCGCCTCATACTTGAAACAAGGGCCCGCTGCTTGAATCCCATATTCCAAATGTGATCGCACGTAAAGACGGGTATAATAATCTATACATTGCTTCATCCCAATACTGGAAAGACCTACGAATAGACCATAATACTCCATGCTCTTTTGTAGCATCAGCCCTACAGTGACTGGTAGTTTTGAGATTGTTGCTTAGTATGACTCCTAAATTTTTATAGTTTCTTACTTTGGGTAACACGAATCCATATATTGTGTAGTGATACGAATGATTATAGTTATTTAGTTCCATCGCCACACTCCTGTTAGGATTTACTTCTAATGACCACCTGTATATCCCTGACACCAATGAGTTGAAATCACCCAGTAATACTATTCTATCAGATATGATGTGTACTTTCATTTTATCTATCTCGTATTATCTGAATAACAGCAATTACACTCATTCCTTTATCTTGTTTATTTATCTTCGATTTATGCATGCTGTGACATCTTTGTCTCATATATCAATAACACACCGTGCGTATTTTGTGAAAAGATCAGATATTCTGAAATTAAAGAATATTAAACTAATCAATATCTTGACACATTGTGTTGCGTTAACTATTTCCTAAAATAAACAACGACAATAACTGTGCTAGATTTATCGAACGTCACTAGCTGAGTGTGTTCAGTTAAGCATCACTAACGGGTCGCATTTTGACGTGTTGTTTAAAGTGAAGATGCCACAAATATTCAAAGTTTGAAAACTCCTTTACATGTTACACCCTTATATTCGAAGTGTGTGAACATAGTCAAATAAGAAGCCATAAATCGAGTCGTTCAATGACATATATGTAAGGTTATCGATATTTGGAGAGGCATTTGGTCTTAGCTGGTTAACTTTTGCGAAGGATGTATAACTGAGCGCCTTCATCTACGGTCTCTCCGGGAAAACTACCGAGGTCAGCAGTGATGTCAAAGTCTTGCAGAATTATTTATTCTGTGTAGTTGTTTGCCTCTACAAACGAATGTCATCCGATCGCTGGGCACCTGACAAGTTACGCGACATGACACCTCTGTTTACGCTTCCAGTGGGATTGGGCCCAAACCACACAATCCCCAAAGCTAAAAAGGAGACGACTGGGAAAATAGATATTCAACATTCGACGTGGAGAAAAACCGAACAATGGAGAAGGTGAACAGAATTAATTTAATCAGTCGAATGGCATGCCTCAGTCTCGCAGGTGTGGTCATTCTTGTGTAACTTATCACTTTTATTCGTATTGAATATTTCGTTCTATCTTCAACCTAAGTGCATTCTCTATCAAATATTGGCGATGATTATGATAGCATGAGGCAGTGTAGACAATGATGTGACTTTCTATAATATTTGAATTATTTGAACTGTAGTATGAACTAGGAATCCCAGAATTAACTCAATTGAGTCAAGAACTACGACACAAGCACAAACGAATATATTGTATTTGGAATTCGAAATCGTGCAATCAACAAGTACAAAGGTATCATCAGTTCATTCAAACACCACATCCGCCACAGCTTAAATTGGAGTCTAGGTGTTTGTAATCAATCGTACGTCTTCTCTAATTCATCCTGAGTCTGTCTGACATTGTATTGGATAAGGATCCTGTATTATCTAGAATGTGCTCATTAGCATTAGAATTAACAACGGAAATTGGAACAGACTCACCTGGTTCCTGAAATTGTATTTGATCAACATGTCGACTGTGTGTACTTAAGTCATCGATGTCTAGAATTCGCACCATCGATTTTCCGACATTCTTCAGAACAATACTAGTTGATGATCGAAGATCATTTCCTCGACAGTATGTAACTTCTGCAGACTCCAAACATCTCATATTCGACCGAAGAATTCTTCCTTTCAGTAGCTTCGCTGGAGTCTCCTTCGTCACCGAATGTCTTGCATTTCTGTATTGTAATAAAAAGGTATCTACTCCCCTCTCCAGCTCATTAAATGTTGAGGCGGCTATAGAATCAATAGCAGTCTTTAACGTCCTGACAAAATTCTCTGCCTGACCATTAGAACACGGATGTCTAGTAGCAGTAAATAGATGTTTGCACCCTATACCGTTCAACCAGGTAGTGACTGCATCTGCAGCAAAATGAAAGCCATTATCAGTCACAAACATCAAAGGAACCTCTTCTCGACTAAACACCTTTCTTAATGCTTGGATTGTGAAATCAGAATTTGGTGAAGTTGTGAAAAACTTCAGGCCACTCCGAAAAAGTGCATAGTATTTACCAAGAAACGGACCACAATAGTCAGCATGAATTATCTCCCAGGCCTCAGACAATACTGGCCATGGAGTCCACTTCGAAGGCTGATTTTTCAACTAATGACATTTCTCACAATTGTTTGCCGTACGACATATATCTGCATTTATCTCTGGCCATCAACATGTGAGCCTTGCCAGGGGCTTTATTTTCTCAACACCTAAATGACCACTATAAAGATCTTCAAGAACAGATTTACTCAATGATGAGGAATGACAACACGATCATTTAAACACAGAATACCATCAGGAGTAGTAGATAGCTCATCCCGCCTTGAGTAATAGATAGGAAATCTACGTTTCAAATTAGCAGTCCAGCCTTTCTGTATAGCACTGAGTATACATCCCAAATATCTGCGAGTTTCTCTAGTGAGATCTGAACGTCTCACTGGTAAAGGTTGCACTAATAAACAGTCCGAAGTATTAATAGGTTTATCTTGTAATGACTGTCGAGAAATGTAGTCAACATGTTGAATTTGTTTGGCATTTCTGTTCTGAACCGTATAGTCATATGCACTCAAAGCAATACTCCATCGTTGAACCATAGCTGCTGAGGAACGAGCTAAGGATTTTTCAGGATGATAAATAAACTTTAAAGCTTCATGATCCGTAACAATAGGAAATTTCCTTCCGAATAAATATTTATGAAGTCTTTTAACAATCCAAAACACAGCTAATGCTTCTCGCTGAGTCTGTGAATAACCTTGTTCAGTAACAGTAAGTTTGCGTGAAACACAAATAACTGGTCTACCTTCCTGTTCCAAAACTGCACCAATTCCCACAGGTAATGCATCAGTAATAAGCACAGAATGTGCATTAGGGGAGTACGTTCGAAGAACAGCATCACTTTGAAGAAACTTCAGCAGACTTCGTAAGCATGACTCTTGTTCCTCACTCCATTTGAATGAATTGGATGTTAAAATATTAAATAAACAATTTGCACAACAAAAAGGAATAAAACGGGAATAGTATTGAAGAGCACCCACTAGTGAACGTAATTCTGTAAGATTTTTCGGAGACGGTGCATTAGTCAGTGGAGCTAGTCGTTTCATATCTGGTCTAAAACCATTACCATCAACTAGGTATCCAAAGCATTCAAAACTAGATACACAAAATGACCACTTATTTGGATTCACTGTAATATTCTTCTCAATTAAACGACGCAATAAAGCAATAAGTCTCTGGTCATGAACTACCTTATTAGAGCCATGAACAATGAGATCATCTTGATAAACTTCAACACCTTCAAGATCACTAACTACTTTATTCATAACTTCCTGAAATATGGCTGGAGAACAACTTAGACCAAATGGAAGGAAATTGTATTTGAACAGACCAAAAGGAGTGTTAATTGTCGTCAAAATAGATGAAGATTCATCTAAAGGATTTTGAAGATAAGCATCTTTTAGGTCAACTTCCGAGAACACTTAAGAACCATGAAGTCGATTTAGAATATCTTCAGCCTCTACCGTCGTGCACGTTTGCTTCAACAAACAGGAGTTCAGAGTTAATCTATAATCACCACAAATTCTAGGGTCTTGCCGTCCGACTTCAGTGGCGTAACGATAGGAGTACCCCATGCTGAAGACTGAATTGGTTCAATTATGCCTTTCACACACAAATCGTTTAATGTCTTATGTACTGTTTCTCGAAGACCATAAGGAATTATTCGTCTTTTAAGAAAGACGGGATCACCCTATAATTGAGGTTTTATAGGCTGAATTTTCATACCTCCACTGCACTTAGCACACATAGCTATCAAATCTTTAAGTAAAGTGTCAGAATTTTCTTTAGAAACTAGGAAGGACAACTCCACTTTAAGCCTTTTCAAATTCTTTAAACTTCATATTGGCAGTCCTGTTTCGCTAACTAAAAATTCACAAGGTATGTATGAAGAATTATCATCTCTGATTAGCAATTCACAACATCCTCGTATGGGCAGTCTGTGTCCAGTAATCCCCAGTATTGATACTTCAGTGGGTCGTACAACAACGTTAGGATCTAAAGATTTCAAGTTCTTGAATGAAATAATGGACTCTATACTGCCTGTGTCCAGAATAAAGTCATGAAATGAACCAAGCAATGTATATAGTCGCTTCTGAATATGAGCATTACCTTTCGAAATAGTAGACATAGATAAATGATCACTAGAAACATCCGAATTATTGAGATTTAAATTGCAAGATTTAGTACTACTTGAAGTGAAATGGACAGTAGCTTTGCATACTGACTGAATTTGTCCTATCTTACCACATTTAAAACATTTAGCATTACGAAATGCACATGAATTGCGAGCATGAAACTTTCCACATGATAAACATTTACCAAACTTCATCTCACCTTTGTGATTTGCTTTGTAATTCCTCGTTGAAACACCTTTCATATTTACACGAGAATAGGAATC